TAGCAAACCAGAATAAATAAACTACCAGAACTAAACACAAAGAAGAATGCTTGATTGAATGAAAATCCGAAAAAGTAAAGGAATTTATCGATATTCAACAGAACACATCAGGGACCTGACAGTGACACAGTTTTGACACTTGATAATAATAATAATTCAATATAACCTATGTTATTGGAAAACAACCGAATAAGAGCTAAACAAATGACTTCTCCGCAAAGGACGGCAAGTAAACCCCTCTGGTGGAGAATACACTGAACTGAGTGATTGGACAGTCATGTAGTACTCGTCAGACAGTCAATTTAGCCGTCATTGAAATATATTACGAAAAAATCAGACCCAGGAACAACACTGCTTATAATAGGTAGCAACTAAAAAAGTTTGGTAAGTATGGCTGAAATAATAAAGGATATAGGTAACTTAATTCGTTTTCAATTTATTAACATTTTTCAACAAGTCACTGGTATTTACTTATATCAATACTTTGATGATGAGATATGATGGACTAGGTAGGTATAGTACAGTGCTGCCAATGCAATTCGAGTCCTTCCTTCTCTTTAGCACGTGAAATCCTCCGCAAATGAACGAAAACCTCCTCTTTTCGACAGTGTTATAAAAGGTAAGAAATGAAACGAAATCTGACGTCACATAAATGATGATGAGGTTACAGTTGCGTTTTATTTGTTTAATTCTGGTAGCGGTGGTGGGAACAGAATGACGTTTTCAAATGAAACGAGAATCTTCATGACATTGCATGGGAGAACTCACATATAGGTGGTTATATTTATATATCGAGACTTCAATAAATACTTTCAAAATCTTGATACAAGATACAAGAGTTAAGAATCTAGAAAATCAATCAATGAATATTTGGAGCAGTGATTGTGGTGATTGGATAAACTTCTCTGAGATGGAGAGAATTAATTTTATTTGGGAATGAACATAATGAAACATGTCTCACTTGAAAGAATCATAAACTTGTGAACTTCACAATAGAAATGTCTTCAAATGTCTTCAACATTCAAAAAGTTTCGTTTTTCGTCAATCTAATTTAATTTTTTAACAACTATCAACAGTTATTTCACGTAATTCCTTTAGGTTTTTTCGTTTGTGTTGCTAAACGTGCTGAAGTTGATTTTGTTTCCATAGGTGTCTCTGTTCATGGAAAAAAAATCAAGTTTAGCAGGTAGAGCAAACACAAACGAACAGGGCCTTCAAGTGAGACGGAATGAAAGGTCGCAACCAGAATCGGAAAAGTTGCAAATAAAACGACACATTAAAGTGATTCCGGTGGTGGAATCGGATAAAAACGCAACTTGTGACTGATCTCTGCACCGATGGTCATTTATTCATGTTCAAACCACCACAGAAGCTCAGAACAAGAACACAGACTCCGACTTCATAGACTCACGGAGGATTCGATCATGATCATGGTCAGATATTGCGCGCACAAGCCTTAACTGAAGACACTGAAGTTGAGTAACAAAATTACAGTGATGGCTAAAAAACCCCTTTCCTCCGCTCCTTGTTCATCCTCCTCCAAAAAAACCTCTAACGCCAAAAACCACCCCTTTTCGGAGGATCCTCCGCACATTGGCAGCACTGGTATAGTACACCATGCTTGACAATAATCAAGTTCAAAATAATTATTTAGGCCGAGTTAGGTTAAAAGAAGTCTACTTATATTATAATATAGGTAATAACTTTCTGTTTTCTCTCAAATTATCTTTCGAAAAATATACTTTTTCGGAAAATGAATCATTCAGGCCGAGTTATGTTAAAAGTAGTCTCAGATGGAGGTTCATTTATGGTAGTCTCCTTTTTCTTGCAGAAATGATATTTTCTTCCTCAATAATACTTTATAACCTACGAAAGCGTAGAAGCGCCACATGATATTTTTTTCATAATTGACAGATATAACTGTCAACTAGCCTAATTGACAGATACTAAGTGGTAACTAGTATACTTGACAGATACTAAGTGTTAAGTAGCATACTTGGCAGATACTAAGTGATAAGTAGCATACTTGACAGATACTAAGTGGTAACTAGTAAACTTGACAGATACTAAGTGGTTACTAGCATACTTGACAGATACTAAGTGATAAGCCTATCTGTCAATTATACTAGTTGACACTTAAGTATCTGTCAAGTATGCTACTTATTACCACTTAGTATCTGTCAAGTATGCTACTTACCACTTAGTATCTGTCAAGTATACTAGTTACCACTTAGTATCTGTCAAGTATGCTACTTACCACTTAGTATCTGTCATTTAGGCTAGTTGACACTTAAGTATCTGTCAAGTATACTAGTTACCACTTAGTATCTGTCAATTAGGCTAGTTGACAGTTATATCTGTCAATTATAAAAAAAATATCATGTGGCGCTTCTACGCTTTCGTAGGTTATAAAGTATTATTGAGGAAGAAAATATCATTTCTGCAAGAAAAAGGAGACTACCATAAATGAACCTTCATCTGAGACTACTTTTAACATAACTCGGCCTGAATGATTCATTTTCCGAAAAAGTATATTTTTCGAAAGATAATTTGAGAGAAAACAGAAAGTTATTACCTATATTATAATATAAGTAGACTTCTTTTAACCTAACTCGGCCTAAATAATTATTTTGAACTTAATTATTGTCAAGCATGGTGTACTATACCTACCTAGTCCATCATACTTCATCATCAAAGTATTGATATAAGTAAATACCAGTGACTTGTTGAAAAATGTTAATAAATTGAAAACGAATTAAGTTACCTATATTCTTTATTATTTCAGCCATACTTACCAAACTTTTTTAGTTGCTACCTATTATAAGTTGGTATCTACCAATAGTTACTCAAACTTATCAATTCAATTTGAATCAGAAATGAAGTAAGTATACCTAATAATTTTCCTTTTGTCCTGTACAGAATAAATATCCTACACCTTGCATCATTTTCAAAGTGTTTCACGTTCCTGTAGAGATAAGAAATTTTCTCCTGATGAGTAGTCATATTTTGAGCCTCGTAAATTACCAGCATTTATATCACCAATTACTTCCTATTTTCAAGAGGTAATATCGTGCACCTAGCCTAGATTGGAATAAATCAGGAAATTCGCCTATGACATTTAAAACTACGGGAAAACATTTCTATAGCTCCTGGCTTAGATTGACTTGGACCTTGGCTACCGCGAAATAGACATTTGGTTACGTCACGTTGGGCCACACCCGAAATTTCGAGTTTAAAGTTGAAATTTCGAGTTTAAAGTCGAAATTTCGAGTTTAATGTCGAAATTTCGAGTTTAAAGTCGAAATTTCGAGATTGAAGTCGAAATTTCGAGATTGAAGTCGAAATTTCGAGTTTAAAGTCGAAATTTCGAGATCAAAGTCGAAATTTCGAGATTAAAGTCGAAATTTCGAGATTAAAGTCGAAATTTCGACTTTAAAGTCGAAATTACTAAAAAAAAATGTGTGTGGCACTTCAGCGCCTTCGTAATTATTAGTTTTCCTGATGAAAAAAAAAAATTCCCATACCGGGAATCGAACCCGAGCCTCCTGGGTGAAAGCCAGGTATCCTAGCCACTAGACCATATGGGAGGTGATTATCATATACTACAAATTTATAACTCAAACTGTCTAAAACTTAATGAAAGTTTCATACTATAGGGCAGGTTAATAAAGTATTTTAGAGACGATAAAATATTCAATTCGTTTATATCCATTCCATGGCAACGTATGTCTTAGCTGATGAATTGCCGATGAGTTAGAAGAGTTGATTAACAGATCATTACAGTGAGCTTTATACTGCAACCATAGAGTATGCAACCAATCGTACTCATATCATGTAAGTACCTTATTTGATGGTGCAAGGATAATAGTTTAGAAAAGTAGTAAATTCCCAGACATAAACAAATAATTTCCAGTTCTGGAGAAGTTTCAAGCAGGGCAGTAACATTGAGGGATATAAGAAGTTGTGGGTTCGTATTTAACCAGATTGTAACCCAGATAGCACATTATTTGTGGTCCACCAAACCGCGCTAACCGAAATATGAGGTCATGGTTGGTAGACCTAATAAATATACTCCCCTTTCCCTATTTTCGTGAAATTTGGCCTTCTGCTATGATTTTTTCTCAGTCAATGTAAGAATAATTGGTCGTTAAGTTCCACATTGAGAGTAAAAAAACGTAAGAAGGCTACGTCTTCCGATAACTTGAAGTTTTCTATTTGTTCAAATATTCTATAAATAATTTTGTGATTTTTGACTTTGACATTGACCTCATGTTTCATACAGTTTCAGTAGCGCCATCTGGTGGGAGTGGAACACAAATGTCAGCCCTCATTTGGCAACGTGTTGGTACATCAACCGAAAGGGGCGGAGTTGCACATCTGAGCAAGAATGGAGTTCAAGAATTCAAACAACCATGACTTTCGGTGTTAACAGTTTTGACAAATTTTGAGACCAATCAGAATGAGTATAGGTGGCGGTGATTTCGAATCTGTATCCTTTCTACTTTTCATACAACAATTTCTATGGTGTATAATCCTAATATAATTTATTTCCACCGTTTAGTTGATATAGCTAATGAGGAGTAAAAAAGTATAATTGGAATTTGATTGGAATAGTGAAGTCTAATACCCCAGTTGCCAGTTGCACATTTTTCCCTCTCTTATGAAGATCAAACCGATCAAAACATTTTATTTGAAATCGGAAATAGAGAACCCCAAAATCAAATTTAAATATGCAACATGCAACAAATCGGTGAAAAAGTTTACTCCGATCATTGTTTTTCATCTATAGACTATAAAGTTGAGTAAACATTTTTTTATTATCCTTAATTATTATGAATAGGTACCTATATGTTTTATTTCGTTCTCATGCGGAAAGACTTAGGATTGCATATAAATATTATGGAAAAATAATCTGAATTTATCTTGTGATATTGAAGCGCAACTTGGGAGAAACGTTTTTGATGAACAAATAGAATTAGTACTATCAAAGGTACTGTAAGTATTACTTAACACAATATTATTGATGCAAAGTTCATGCAGGACCATCTATTTTTGGCACATGAAAGTGGACAAACAATTCAGCTCTTTTCCCCCAAAGAATACATTGAATGGAAATTAGTCAGAATAAACGGACCACGGTACATTCATGGTGAAAACATTCGACTTACCTCATTTTCCGGTCTACCCTGTGCCCTATGAAAATTTCGATCAACGCCACTGCACCTCCTTTTTTAATGAGATTGCCTTAGGGCGCCTAGGCCGGACCTGCAACATTTATGGCAACGTCGCAAAACTGAAAACTGACGAGTGACGACTGTCACGACAGTGGTGTTGACATTAAATTTCTAACTACTTTAACCTCAAAAAAATCTAGAAAGAAATGAAATGAGTACAAAATCAAAATGGACAAACTTCGACTCTTCGAGGTGATACCTTGATCGAGATTGCTGGTCAACTTGTTGAAATGGCCTCTTGGCATAATTCTAAGGAATTTATCACAAATCAGAACTAACAACAACTTTTATAGTACCTATTCCGACCTACCTGGTAAAAATGATATTTCCAGAAAATCAGGAAATTAGATATTTCATCCATAACCATTTCAAATCGGCTAAATACCAATCCAAAGCAAAAACGAAGAATTATATCCAAATGAAATAATTATCCTTGTCAAAAACATTGAACTTGATCCTTGATAGCCGGCGCCAACAGATTAACAGAAACAGTTCAACAGTTGACAGGATTCTGACTGCTGTTTTGATTCTTGTCCGCGACATTGTGCCTTTTTCTGTTGATTTTCCGAAATTCTCCGCAATTTCTTGAAATGGGTGATGCTGAGGAAAGTGTACCTTGTTATTTAATACTGGAGGATGATACAATTCTGAAGGGATACTCTTTTGGAGCAAAAAAACCAATAGACGGCGAAATAGGTGAGTGCCGTGCCGATTGCCGAACACGTGGTGTTTTGTTTTTTGTTTCAATTGTTAATTTTTTAATAGAATAAATGATGGTCTGTTATCCTCATTATTATTTGTGATAAAGTACCTTTTTGTCATTCACTGTTTTGTGCGTCAAATGGTCAATAATTGATTAGGGATCATATTCATTATTCATTGTTTTGTTACTCCTTGCCAGTGGCGTCGTCGCCAGATAAAAACGAAGGTTTAATCAATGTGTAGAAAATGGGGTTATAATACGACCTAGGTGAAAAATAGCACTAGTTGCTTATTGTTCCTACCGAATATACTAGGTGTAAGGACAGGATCCTGGTGTGTCATGATACTCATGATAGTATACACCAAGGCTATTTCGTTCTTTTGCTATACAGGGTGTATCTAAATCTCGATCTAAAAATAACACTGAACAAATTCAAATACAGGATTTTGAAGTTGAAGCTTTCATGGTGAAAAAAATTAGTATGGTTGGAGACCGTGAAAGCCCTAAAATTACAAAATGATTGTAATTGTGGTTATTGAGTAATCTCAATGGAAGTTTTGAAAACACCTACATTCAGATTTGGACAAATCAATTTACTATTGTATACTCAAAAACTGAGCTAGATACTAAATTCACACAGAGGATAAAAAAGTTGTTATTTCAATAGTTCAATCTGATAAAAATATGAAATTCAGAAAAATCGGTGGCGATTCTGTGACGCCACTGGAAATATTATTTTGAATATAATTACACCAGAAAAAGCTCCATATTACTATCAACAAAACCACAACCTCTTATTGAAATTGATGAAAAGATAATTGAGTATTAAATAAAAAAACAAGTTTTCATGAAAATATTAATACCCTGTATCTCGGAAACGAAACAAGTTCAGCCACTTGTTTATATGAACTTTATTTCCTAAAATATCATCTAAGTACTCCTTTTTAGTTTGACAATCTACGTATCTCTTTAGTTTGTTGAACTATACTATCTATTTTGTACTTTCCATCAGTTTGGCCTCAAGTTTGGCTATCTTTAAAAGCATGTTTCATTAGTTTTTCTAACTACTATTTATTACAAAGCTCGTTCGCCATATTGGACCCGCCATCTTGAATTTCCTAATGTTGAAGAACAAATCATAATCTCCTACCCTGAAAACCCTCAGATACAAATTTTTGATGGAATCGGATGTTAATTACAAAACTCGTCCTCCATATTGGATCCGTTATCTTCAATTCTCTAATATTGACAAAGGAATCATGATCACCGACCCCGAAACCCCTCTGATACCAATTTTGAATAGAATCGGATCATAATTACAAAACTCGTCAACTATATTGGATCCACCATCTTGAATTTCCAAATTGTGACGAAAGAATCATAATCTCCGACCCCAAAACCCACAGATACAAATTTTGAAAGGAATCGAATCATAAATTACAAAATTCGTCCGCCATATAGTGGATGCGCCACCTTGAATTTTGAAATTTTGATGAAAGAATCATAATCTCCGACTCCGAAAACCCCCAGGTGCCAATTTGGAATAGAATCGGATCATTAAAAAACTCGTCCGCCATATTGTGAGGGATCCAGTTAATTGAAATATTACCTACTTTTGTGATATAAATTTAAACCTAAGAAAACAAAGGAAAACAAAGCAGAGAATCACAAAGAATGTATATTTTGTTTTATTCCAGTTTTCCAAACTGGTATGGTTGGCTATCCAGAATCATTGACAGATCCCAGTTATCATTCTCAAATTCTCATCCTCACATATCCCATCATTGGAAACTATGGAGTTCCTGCTGAAACTATTGATGAACATGGCTTGCCTTAGTAAGAACTTCCTTTATAATAATTTTTTCTCTCATTATTGATAATGATATGAATACTAGGTATATAAAATTACTAAAATGATTAAAAATCAGTCAAAATGGTTAGAACTTTGTTTGTCTTTCACACATCTCCTAATTTACAGCTGAGCTGTAAATTAGGGAAATATTCTTGACCCGGCGTCACCCAGGTGGAAAATCTGTACATTCTCACCCAGATGGGGTCTGACTCTGATGTACCCCATAATTAGAAACTAGAGGGGAAAAACCAATAGGAATATTTCCAGATTTGTATGTGAAATGAGTTCTTCTAGATGTATTCACTTCATGATTAAAAACAGAAACTTTTTTACAAATAGCGAAAAGTCTAACGAAAAAAAAACATGATATCTTTGGAAACTGTTTAAAAAATAAACAACACTAAAGTTATCAGCTAGAAAAGTAACATGTAGTATATGAAGAAAACAAAAAATGATCCATTTTCTTATGGGAATTTACATGTATCTCTTAGATTAAAATCGAGGGGAAAACAACTATTTAAATAGGTGTACACCATGAAATTTTAAGTATTTTAAGTATCATTCTTGATACATTAAGTACAATATAATAAGTCTCAGTATTTAAGTACCTCTGTTAACAGTATCTCAACTCAAGTTCCAGTTTTAAGTATTTTGAGTACTTTTTAATTACCAACCCAGCAAACATCGAAAGGCGGTAGAGAGCCGGGCCCATGGCGAGAACGGCGGGCAAATGTCGATGTCGGCATGCCTCGAAAGGCCCTCCATATAATTTCAAAGGATTTTGTGACGGAGGCAGAATGTACACATTCTTATGATAGGCCTCTGATCCCCAGCCGATGGTCTTTCGCTGTATGTATCCAAGTCCAAGGGCCATCAAAATTTCAACGGAGTGTGCCATCATCACTCACTCAACGTTGGCATCCCTCGCTCGCGTTAGTTTTTATTTTGATCATTTTGCAGTGGCAACAGTGATTCAGTATGGCGTATATTAATTTCTTTGTTTATGTTGTTTCAATGCTCTCAACAGAGATTTAAGTACTGTGTTCAGTTCGTGTTTGGTTCTCTAGTGGATTTTTATATTGACATAAATACAGAGTGAGTGAGGAACAAACATATATACAAACTTGCACAGCTACATAATTCTACTATTTTAGATAAGAATTCTACAAACACCATTAGACAAACAGATGCAATAATAGTTTGGACATGTTCAGCGGATACACAAGAATATAATAATATATGAGGACTTAGAAGATGCATGAGCTTTTATTACATATGAATCATGAATCTATTTTTGAAACGAAAATCACAGAGGACCTACTTGAAGAAACAGTTATATTTCAAGAATTACTGTAGGTATGTATAAGGTTGCATGTTCTGGATTAGTAGAGAATGAAATCATTCAATCTTTCAGCTACAAAATTAACAACCAGAAGCCCATCAATCACAGATATTAATGAAGAAATCACAGGATGATCCAGACTATGATATAAATTTCTTCATCCTATATGATATCTCACCTCCAGGCAACACTCATATCAATATGATAAAGAGTGAGGTTCTCCATATCTGGGAATTGTTTTCTTGTGAATTGAACTCTATTGTTGGCAATAACTTGATCAATATAATAGGCAATTGATTACCTACATAACTTTCAAGTTATTTAGTAGGTACATAGGTGATGTAATTTTTGACCTAGAGCTAGCAACTTTTGGAAACAAGTGGAAAAACAAATGTCTATCCTGCATGCTGAAACACAAATACCTATTATTGGAATTTGTAGGTACCTTTTCATAATGAGTATACAGAGTGATACATAGAACTAGAATCAAGATGTTGATGTTTCCATAGTTGTGATATGTATTGGTTGTGATCATGGAAATAATATACACACATGGATATTTTCAGTTATTGTTTTTGTATGGGGTGTTTATACTGCTAGTTTCCTGGAAGTAACTGTGATATCAGGATGCCATCTCAGAGATTTTTATGTAATAATTCAACAACTTCAGGTAAGAAGTGAATTCCACATTTCTGTTATACCCAGAGGATTCACAAAAAACTCGGAAACCTCAATTCTGTTTTTTGAAGTTTCACATTTTTTAACCAGTTTGAAAATAGAGAGAGTGATGCAAATCTGAGTGAAAATAAGATACCTTGCTTTCCAAGTGGTGATATAAACTGAGATACCTATCAAAAAACCTATTTTCACTGAGATATATGCATTACCCTGTATATTTTTTGACAAACCTAGTTGAAAAATGGGACATCAAAAAACAGAATACCATGAATATTGAATTCATTCAACCCCGTTAACCGGCCCTGAAAAACTCCTCTATCGGGGGAATAAAAATACTCAAGAGGCCAATTAATGGCAGTCTCTGAAAAGTCTCAATCGGGCCGAAGATATGCCATGAATGCAGTACATTTGAGTACTTGCTTCTGCCCACCAGAAGGCCTGCAATGCAATAAGCGGCATACTGATGGCTCTAGGGAGGCGGTCGGCTGTCGGCCGCCGGGACACGGGCTAGCCGGCCCAACTTAGTTGTACAATAGAGGACCGCTGTTACCGCTCGCCGGCAAGTTTCATTGTACCTTTAGAGGGCCGCAAAAATCATGTTTGCTGGGAAATATTTAAATATGGTGTACACATTTTGGGTAGTTGTTTCCCCATCCATTAATATATATATATATTTGTTACACAGGTGGGGTTTCTCAGACCCCAAATCTGTTCACTGCACTGTCACTATCTTGGTAGCTAACTAAAGATTGAATTCACACCAGAATATCACAGAATAAAGTGTTTTGGGAAGCTATAGGCAACCAAAGAAACATTCATGCATTCAAATTGAAATGCCAGTGATTTAAAATGTCTATGTCCATCTGAGACCCCACCTGTGCAACACCGGGTTAATAAAAAAGTTGTTTTAGAATGGCAGTTCAGAACCGTCATCATTCAGATATCTTTGGTTGAAGTTATTCCAATAATATTGCAATCTTCATAAATGTAAAATAAATTCAAAATATAACTATTGAATAATTATTGACATTTCATGAATTTCTGACAGATAACATTCTTGTTGATATCACTTGCATATGTTAAACCTAGCTTACTATGATGCAATTCATATCTTTAGAACGTTTTTATAAAGAAACCTTCATAGCTCCAAAAACCTTTGGAGTTAGATATAGAAAATTCCATATCCCTTGGAGCTTGGAGCATATTTCATTCCTGCGTTCAGCTATTTGATTATATACAGTTCATTTGATTTGAAGAAATTACTTTCAAAAACTCCTAAATGATAAGGTATTTTTGACCATGCTGTAGAAGTTTTGATATAATTTTCCACCTCACTCCATATCATAATGTATACTAGCAGATGGTAATACTATAGATGGTAATTTTAAAAATTGTAAAAATGTATGCAATTTCAAAGATACTAGTGGTAACTCAAAATTTTCCAGAATCATAATAATTCGAAAAACGGTTTTCATTTCCAAAGCGTCTAACGTTAAGTGAAAAATTTGATATTTTATATATACAGTGTGACCCACTTCTAATGGAAACACCCCTGTATCTTACTTAATCGTTGGGTGAGGATCCTGAAATTTGCTGGAGTGAGAGATATACCAAAAATGCACTCTATGACCAAGTGGGGGACATCTTCAGTGAAATACACTGCTCGCCAATAGCCATGGAACCATTCCGGAAAATGATATTAGGAGTTGAAATAGGTCGAAAATCACTTCGGATTCGGAGTCAGGACGCCCAATTCACTAACTATTCATATTTATCCTGGAAAATTTTCAGTTCTGAAAAATTAAATTTTGTCGCACTTTTTACGGAAGCACCCCCGTATTATAAACATCTCACCCGTCTCTTACGTAATTGACTTTATCTTTGGACTTTCTCTTCCTCCTGCAAATTTCAGAACCCTACCTAAATAGTTACGTGAGATACGGGGGTGCTTCCATGAGAAGTGAGACAAAATTTAATATTTCTGAACTGGAAATTTTCTAGGAAAACTATGAATAATAAGTGAGTTGGGCGTCCTGATTCCGAATCCGAAGTGATTTTCAACCTATTTTGACTCCTACATTTTCCGGAAATTGTGGTGGTTCCATTGCTGTTGGCGAGCAGTGTATAACACTGAAAATGACCCCACTTGGCATGTCTCTCGCTCCAGCAGATTAGAAGTGGGTCACACTGTATACAGAGGAGTGCATAAAGAACGGCCAGAAGGTACTGTAACTTCTTTGACAAAACAATTTTTATTCTGTCAACCCCAACTTTTGATTTTCAAATGGGACACCCTGCATTTTATTCCATAATCGGTTAGGGTTTATCATAACGAATTCAACAATACTGGGTTTGATAGGGTCATTTCGAACGATTATTATTATGAAGATATTTGAAAGTACCCTATCAAACTCGGTATCGTTGAATTCGCCATTATAAAATAATATTATAATCTATTATGGAACACAATTTTTTTAAGTCTGATTTCGAATGATTCAGAACTGGCCGTTTTGTGTGCACTTCTCTGTATCTATATTTCTCTTCTTCAAACATTTTTCAAAACAATGTATGTGTCACTGACTATCGATTGAATTCCTCTTTTAGATTTCTAATAGTGAAAATTTGAAACGCCGTGACATTTTGGGACAAATCATGTGATCTCTCATTACCACACATATATTGAAATGATAATCATATTTTTATTTATAGAAATAAGAAAAAAAAATCCCAAAAAATGTAGAGAAATGATGAGTAGTATTTTTAGTTTTTTCGAATCAAACCAGATCTGGGCATCTGCCTTGGTTGTGGGGGAACATTGCGACTTTCCAAGCCACTGGCGTAATGCTCGCACCCTATCCTCCTGGATGAAAGAGCAAAATATTCCCGGAATACAGGGCGTCGATACTAGGCAGCTAACGAAAATAATACGTGAAAGAGGCACGATGCTGGGAAGAATCGTTTACAGCTTACCACTCCCCTTGGGTGTTCAAATTCAAGATCCGAACACTGCAAATTTAGTTGCTGAAGTATCCATCAAGGTATTTTCTATCATCCTCAATATATTATATTCCAGATTAGAATAAAGTAGATGGGATTAATTGCAGGTGTAACATGATTTTAATAATAGGCTACTGAACTGGTATTAAATTTTTCACATTCAACAATTACACTGATAGGACCAATCAATATTTATGTCTACATCATATATATATATATTTTTAAACTCATTATTATTCCAATTTATACCCCTTTTAACTCACATTTCAACCTTGAAGAAGAAAATAAAAATTTTCGAAAGCTTGGCACAGCAATAAAGTAGTTTGCTTGTAGCCCGATAGACTGAACTCCCCGATATTTCCTATTATATCATAATAAATACAGTCAATAAACTATATAATATAATAAAACTTTGAACATTATAGGGATTTCCTTTCGTGCACTCCAAGCGAGTAAAAAAAAATTACAGCCTGTTTCTGATAGACCAAGCTATGCCACTAACCTTGTTTTATTCAAATACTACAAAACAAGGTTGAAGTTTTGTTCAATTTAGACTACTGCCCTCCGCTACTCGCCGGGCAGTAAACTTCATTCTCTGGAGAAAAACTTGCAATTTTCTCTCTTGTTTCACAAATAGCTATTGTTTGTCATAGAATGTACTTCTTTTTAGAAACCATTAACCTACAACTCGAATGGAAATCCAAGGATCTGTGCAGTCGACTGTGGCTTGAAATATAATCAAATTAGATGTCTTGTTAACAGGGGAGCTAGAGTTGATGTGGTACCATGGAACCACAAACTCGATATTGGCGAATATGATGGCCTTTTCCTCAGTAACGGACCTGGTAACCCAGAAATGTGTAAAGAAACTATCACTAACATCAAATCAGTTCTAAACAGTGGCCAGGTCAAACCAATATTTGGTATTTGCTTAGGACATCAACTTCTTTCCATGTCCATAGGCTGTACCAGTTACAAAATGAGGTAAATATCTCATGATGTGATATCATACAATTCATCATCCACTATTTCTTGTGCTAGGTATGGTAATCGAGGCCATAATCAACCATGCATTCACCATGACACAGGTAGATGTTACATGACCTCTCAAAACCATGGTTTTGCCATAGATGTCAAATCATTGCCTCAAGATTGGAAGCCTTTATTCACGAACGCCAATGATAACACGAATGAAGGTATAGTCCACTCCAGCCTTCCCTATTTCAGCGTTCAATTTCATCCAGAACACAATGCTGGGCCTCAAGATCTAGAAGTCCTATTCGACGTTTTCTTGAACGTTATTAAAAACTACACAAATACTCATATCAATGCTAAAGATTGTCTCGCAGAAACTTTGAAGTACCAAATACAAAAACCTATAAATTTCTCCGTGCCAAAAAAGATTCTTATAATAGGCTCAGGAGGTCTGTCTATTGGCCAAGCGGGAGAATTCGACTACTCTGGTTCACAAGCCATCAAAGCATTGAAAGAGGAAAACATCCAAACAGTCCTCATCAACCCCAATATAGCAACCGTCCAAACTTCCAAAGGACTGGCCGATAAAGTATATTTCCTACCTTTAGTACCAACTTATGTAGAACAAGTCATTCGCTCAGAAAGACCAGGAGGGGTACTCTTAACTTTCGGTGGTCAAACGGGCTTAAACTGCGGAGTAGAGCTAGAAAGGCAAGGTGTGTTCGAGAAGTATGGGTGCAAGATATTGGGTACCCCGATTCAAGCCATTATTGATACAGAAGATCGCAAAATATTCAGTGAAAGAGTAGCCGAGATCGGGGAGAAGGTTGCTCCAAGTATGGCCGCTCATTCTGTCCAAGAGGCGATAGAAGCAGCTGAGCAATTGGGATATCCTGTAATGGCCAGGGCTGCTTTCTCATTGGGAGGTTTAGGTTCAGGCTTTGCTAACTGCCAAGAAGAGTTGAAAGCACTAGCTCTGCAAGCTTTAGCCCACTCCAGTCAGTTGATCATCGACAAATCTTTGAGAGGTTGGAAGGAGGTCGAGTATGAGGTTGTAAGGGATGCATTTGATAATTGCATCACGGTTTGTAATATGGAGAACGTGGATCCTCTTGGTATCCACACTGGAGAGTCTATAGTAGTAGCGCCAAGTCAGACTTTGAGTAATAAAGAATATAATATGCTTAGAACTACTGCTATTAAAGTTATCAGGCATTTTGGGATTGTCGGGGAGTGTAACATTCAGTATGCTTTGAATCCACACTCTGAAGAGTATTATATTATAGAAGTTAATGCCAGGTTGTCAAGAAGCTCAGCTTTGGCCAGCAAAGCTACTGGTTATCCCTTAGCTTATGTTGCAGCCAAGCTTGCTTTAGGAATTCCCTTACCTGAAATCAAAAACTCAGTTACTGGTGTCACTACTGCTTGTTTTGAACCGAGCTTGGACTATTGCGTGGTGAAGATTCCAAGGTGGGACTTGCACAAATTTTCTAGAGTGAGCACCAAAATCGGTAGCTCTATGAAGAGTGTTGGAGAAGTGATGGCAATCGGCAGGAAATTCGAGGAAGCTTTTCAGAAAGCTCTTAGAATGGTCGACGAGAATGTGGAAGGTTTTGATCCCTATCTTAAACCAGTCGATGATGAAGAACTCAAAGAACCTACTGATAAAAGAATGTTTGTGCTGGCAGCAGCATTGAAAAAGGGCTACACTATCGACAAACTATATGACCTTACTAAAATAGATAAATGGTTCTTACAGAAAATGAACAATATCATCAACTATCTCACAATACTAGAGTCTTTCGACCAAAACACTGTTACATGCAATAGTCTACTCCAAGCCAAGCAAATGGGTTTCTCTGATAAACAAATAGCTTCAGCCCTCAAAAGTACCGAGTTAGCGATCCGCAAACAAAGAGAAGATTTTGACATAACACCTTTCGTGAAACAAATTGATACAGTAGCTGCTGAATGGCCTGCAACCACAAACTACCTGTATATAACCTATAATGCTTCTTCTCACGATATTGAATTCAACGAAGAACATACTATGGTGATAGGATCAGGAGTATATAGAATTGGTAGTTCAGTGGAGTTTGATTGGTGTGCTGTAGGATGTCTCAGAGAGCTAAGGAGACTGAATAGAAAAACGATAATGGTAAACTATAACCCCGAGACTGTTAGTACCGATTATGACATGTCAGATAGATTGTACTTTGAAGAAATCTCCTTCGAAGTTGTAATGGACATCTACAACATTGAAAACCCTTGCGGCATTATATTATCTATGGGTGGTCAGTTGCCTAATAATATCGCAATAGATTTGCATAGACAACAAGCTAGAATACTTGGGACATCACCCGATTCCATCGATGGGGCTGAAAACAGGTTCAAATTTTCACGAATGCTCGATAGAATAGGTATCCTGCAGCCTAGATGGAAAGAGTTGACTAACCTAAAATCCGCCATCCAGTTTTGTGAAGAAGCAGGTTATCCTTGCTTAGTAAGACCGTCATACGTGCTGAGCGGAGCTGCAATGAACGTAGCACATTCAAACCAAGACCTGGAGACATACCTCAACGCAGCCAGTGATGTCAGTAAAGAACATCCTGTTGTGATCACCAAGTTCTTATTGGAGAGTAAAGAGATAGATGTAGATGCAGTTGCTTGTGATGGCGTGATACTTTGCATGGCCGTCTCTGAGCATGTGGAAAATGCTGGAGTCCATTCAGGAGATGCCACTTTGGTCACTCCTCCACAGGACATCAACTCTGAGACTCTGACGAAGATAAAACATATAGTAAAGTCGATAGCTGCTTCGCTAGAAGTCACTGGACCTTTCAACATGCAGCTGATAGCCAAGGACAACGACCTCAAGGTCATAGAATGCAACGTCAGGGTGTCGAGATCGTTTCCTTTCGTCTCCAAAACGTTGGACCACGATTTCGTCGCTATGGCAACGCGGGTTATCGTCGGGGAACCTGTAGATCCAGTGGATGTTTTGCACGGTTGCGGGAAAGTGGGAGTGAAGGTACCGCAGTTTTCTTTCTCGAGATTGGCTGGGGCAGATTTCATGTTGGGGGTGGAGATGGCTTCTACAGGAGAGGTGGCGTGCTTCGGGGATAATCGGTATGAGGCTTATCTCAAGGCCATGATGAGTACTGGGTTCAGCATTCCAAAGAACTCGATTTTGCTCTCCATCGGGAGTTTTAAGGTAAGAGTTTAGGATATATTCAAATCACTAAAAATTATGAACATTGATTTTTTTTCATGGTTAACTCAAGTGCAAATTTCTAGAAAATCTAGATCATTTTCTAATTATGCTTAACCTATAATGTCCAGACCACATTGATTGCAAAGATTTAACAACTTTATTGAATTTTCTTAGCATAAAATGGAACTGCTGCCAAGTATGAGGTCCCTGAGGAAGATGGGTTACAAATTGTATGCTAGTTTGGGAACAGCAGATTTTTACAATGAACATGGAGTTGATGTAAGTAATTTTTCAGTCACTTTGTAATAAAGGAGTGGTATTCTTTGTTCAAATATTTTCTGATAACGAATATGTTCATACAGTTTCAATTTTGAAAAATATTGTAAATTGACAGATATTTTTGAACTGAATTTATTCTTGTACGAATTTTACTCATTTGAACTTTTGTGAAACGCAGAAACCAGGAATTATTCTTCATTTTTCTATTCTTCATATTTTCTATACTTCATATTTTCTATAAACATTTTCAACGAAATATCTCAGATGGTTAAAGCGTCAATGTTCTATCCACGTTGGATTGTCCGTAGGTGGGTTCGATTCCCACCACGACCGCAGAAAATTTTTCTGATGGCCTGAGAAAGTTTTTGGAATTACACGTCAAAAGGTTACACCCCCTTCATTCCTTGCTCTTGAAGACTTCTGAAGGTTGCTCGTAAGGGGGCAACCGAATGATGGATAAGAACAATTTTTTTTAGGAACCTAAGAAAAAAATTCAATTCATAGTCAGTGATACCGTGTTGATGAATTAGAAAAATAATCATTGGTTTTTTTCAGGTTGAATCTGTCCAATGGACTTTCGATAGCATCGATGACATCACAAGCCAAGGAGAACTGAGACCGCTGGCCGAGTTCTTGTCGAAGAAACAGTTCGATTTGGTCATCAACTTGCCGATGAGGAACGGAGGAGCCAGAAGAGTGTCCTCTTTCATGACACACGGTTACAGGACAAGAAGACTAGCTATCGATTATTCCATTCCCTTGGTGACAGACGTCAAATGCGCCAAATTATTGGTTGAGGTAAGTCAATCTAGGGTCCCTTTTTTTTTATCGCACGGACAGATCCTTGTCTCCTCTCACTCTAAAGTGTTTGTGAAACAGTTGAATAGTTCCATTATTTATTTCTGGAGATAAACACTAGATTTCTGACATTTCTTGTTTTTTAGGTTATATTGAGGACATTGGCGTATCATACGTAATTTCCACATGTGATTTCTCATTGAACTCTACTTATTATATTCGAATGATGATGATAATTTCTGAGTTTTTGATTTTTCAACTCCAGCATAATCTTTGTGAAGCAGTGAACAAATTTTTCTGAAAGTTTAATACGTTTTACCTGCTGTATGCCGGGTGTCAACCAATCTATTAGACAAGTCATAACTTCTAGACCATTAGGTATATCGAAATGAGATTAGGTAAATGGTATGTGAAGAGGAGAGTTTTCACATATTTTTCACTTCCCGGCCACTTCCGGTCCTTGTTCAAGACACATATTTAATATTAATTAATTTTTTTTTATTCCATTTTTTTATGTAGAATAATAGTAGATTATGTATATCGAGAGAGTGAAGTGCATGATTTTTCCAGAGGTGGTTTTGTAGCCAGAGGGTGCTACAATGCACTGAGGCAAGAAAGAGCTCACTTCCGAGGTTTATATACCATTTTTTGCACGACTCGACGATTTTAATTGAAAGAATCTTATGAAAAAATCAATTATTGTTAATATGAACACAATAATCACAAAGTCAAGTTATTTGATCATCATGACTACCGATAAAGAAGAGTAGCCATATTGATATTTGTGAACATCGAGAAAGTGTGGTAGCATATTTTCTTAATTGCTTTCCAAAGTTTCTTCATAAATATTGCAGGAATGTGTGGAAAAAACATAGTGGGAGATTTCTTGCTGGAAAAATCCCGGAAATTTTTTTAGCCTGTATTCCCGCTTATTTATTGTGACTTGCCTCTCCCTGAGATTATTTCTGCGGACGCCCCTGGTCGTAACAATCGTTGAATATTTCCGGCAAAATAGCTTTACTTGTGGTATCACATATGATCACAGGGAACAAAGGGGGAATATCACAAAAACTGAGTTTTGAGAAAAACACTTTCAAAGTTTGAAACCTCCTAACTCTTTGGAAGTTGTAGCAAACTGAAATCAAACCACCTGGATCCATTTGATGAAGTATAATGAGCAATAAAGTTGAACAACTAGAAATAAAGATCATATTTGAATGAAAAATGAGTCCAAAGATTGAAGGGAAAAATGGGGAATGTCCAGATAAATTATGAAAAAGGATTGCCGGAAATATGATCGAGATCATTAGATCAATTGATTTTTCGATCATTTGATTTTTCGATCAAATGTTCAATCAAATGATATGGATCGAATGGTTTTCGATCATATTTCGGGCAACCGTAAAAAAAGAGGATTGTTACTCGCAATTATCTGCTCTGGTACATTTCTTGATTCTAGCCTGACTACCAAATGAACGGTAAATTGTTATAATACATCTAGCATCTCCATAATTTGATCATTTTCTATAAATTCCACGCGATATGAGTAGAAATCATGATGTAGCAAACTCATTATTTTATTCCCATCACTCAGACATATTCAACAAGCCCAGTCAGCACACAGGCAAAGCTTTGATTAAACATTTTTCATCCATTCCTTCACAAACAATTTGTTCTAAAATTTGTTTTGTTCTAAAATTTGTTCTATCCGTCATTCGGTTGCCCCCTTACGATCAACCCTCAAAAGTCTTCGAAAGTCTTGTGCGAGCAAGGAATGACAATGACAATGTCTTTGGTATCAGCAACTTGAGGTTACATATTCGGACGGTGATAATTAAGAATTATCGGAATACTTTCTGATCAAGCATACTATTTCCATTATAAAAATACAAATCACATTATAGGGATTCCCTTTCGTGCGCTCCAAGAGATAAAAAAAAAGGTTCACTTTGGCCATAAGAAGTATATTTATCAGTTCTACCAACAATTAATAATAATGTTAGCGCTTATTATGAATACGTAGATACTTCAAACGCGCATCATAAAGTCAAGAGAATATTTATATCACAAATTCGAAGATCTAATTTTAGAAATGGCATATGGCCATCAAATTGATTGTGAGCCTCATTGTCACAACTTACTGCCTAATTTTATGAAAGTTAGCTAAGTAAGTTGTACTCGTGAAATTTTCAATATCCAATTTATAGTATTTTTATGTTGTATGGGCGAAAAAAACCAATTGTTTAGGATAGCGACAGCGACTATATTTCACTTTCGCGATTGTAATATATATTTCAGATGTAGGTATCTTCGTCGCATTATTTTGATGAATTTTCTCGTATTATTTCAGTTGGGAAACGTCGTAGTGTATTTGGATTTCTCTTCCTGATAAGATTACATGATCACATTAAGTCATAACGTAAAAGTATTTGTTGTGGATTTGTGTACATTTTTGCAAAATAAGGGTGAGTGTTTGTATGAGACTGATTTCCTGAAATTTCTGTCATAGAACAAACATGTGGCAGAAATAGTGTATTATTCAATGAGCGCGGAATGATAGTGATTTTTTCTGTCAGTTTTAGGAATTTTGTTGAATTTGATATTTTTGTATTAATCGTATATGTTCCCTTCATTCTGTTCTGTTTAAAATGACGAGCATTTAAATTACTGATTCGTATTTAGAATAGAATGAGCTACATGGTTGAGTGGAAAAACAAAATCTGTTTTCGGACAGAATTTTGAACTCTGCCTTTTGACAAACCTTCATGTTCAAAATATTTATATGTATTATTCATGTTTATTTGTATCATGATTATGTCAATAAAATCGAAATTATTATTATTATTTACATTGCTACATTTTCCCTGTTATACGATGACATTTCCAGATTCACCATGCTTATTATTAATGAGAATCCAATATGGCGCCCAAAAGAAAAAATGAAGTGGTTGATGGTGGAGTAAAGACGAAAAGTCGGATAGTGAATCAGAAAATGTCATCGTATAGAAGGGAAAAAGTGAAATGTGAATGTGCTATACTCATTGATATTCTTCAACAAATAACGTCAGAAAAAAATTAAAATGAATTATCCTAATGTCTGTTTTTTTCGTATATTTCCGGAAATAAACACATAAATACGCAACTTTGCCCTAATTTAGAGTCTTGCCAAATTACAAAAAAAATTTCAAACCTAAACCTACTACATTTTCTTTTCTCCATGAAAATATTCATTTTATAAAATAAACATTTAGGTAACCTCTTACTGATTGCTTTTTCCAGAAATTCTAATTCAAATTACTCATGCAGTATTTTCTCAATATTTCGTTACAGTTCGTACGTTATTTCAGGCAAATTTATAGAGTGTTATTTATTAACTTCATCAAGATAATATTATATTTAGAATTTTTATTGTGTTGTATATCACTAATGCATTCATATTTGTACATGTCATTTCACCTAATCTTCTTACTTCAATCTTTCCTGACATCGATTTACGAGCTATTCGTAAGAATCGTAAAGAAAGAACATAAATTGAAATGTGGAAGAATAGACGATTGGACTGGTATTCATTTTTTAACATTCATCAACGTTTTAGACACTAGTGAAAACTAGTGCTACACTGACTAAGAACTAGTGTTGCACTGACGCTGTATCCAATATACAGGGTCATTCACATAACTGATTTATTAGATGTTTATAGAGAACCAAAAGAGACATCAATCTGAAATGTTGGGTACGTTTGAACCGGAAGTGACATTAACTTCGTTTTTTTCAAACGGAACAGATACAGGTTGATCAGAATTCTGAATATTGAACCACCCTGTAGTCGTTCCAATTAAATGACAGTAGATAGTAATTCAGAAGTTGAGATGGGACATGTAAGCCGTTTGGAATGAATAGTTGCGACACAAAAAAACCTAAAATCTCAAATAGGCATTATTTCATCATCCAATCAATCAGGAAACTTCTCACAGAATCGTTGGTCTTATCACGGTTCAACTATATTTTCCATTGTACTGACGTTCATATATATACACTGTATATCTTACATAATAATAAACTTAAATAAACTAATCTTTTCTATGGGGATATTGTGTACAGCAATCTTTTGAATAAATTTGATTTGAATCGGAAACAGAAGTACAGAACTTCTGATGTAGACTGGTCTACTCATTAAGAAAATATGATCATGTCTCTAGCAAAATCATAGTACTGATCTGGTTGACAATGAAAAATCGTACTAATCATAATCTTTGCAACTTTGTGAATAAAGTTCTAACTTCCAAAATTCCCTCGTCACTATATAATAAACTGTTTCCTAGGTCTACGCTACATTCATTCGATCTAAGAACAAAAAACAAATTTCATGTTCCTCGTCATAAAACGTCATTGTTCCAGAAGTCGTCATTTATCTCTCCGTCAAATTTTACAACTCACTGTTGATCAATTGTATGCAATTTTCGAAAATAAAAATAAGAATCATCCTGAAAAAACACTTTTTGAATACTATAACATGAACTTGAATGCCTTCTCCTGAATTTTTTTGTATCTTATTTCAGCCTTTACTTACCTCGTCACATTATTTCATATAGCTACATCCTTCTGTTATGAATTATTATTGTTATGTGTTACGTTTGAACATCTTCTCTTTCTTCCCATTCATCATATTAGTTTTTCTGCAACCGACACAAAAGTCGTCCATTTTGATACCAAAATTAGCTCTTAAATTGACGTTTCTATTACTGTCACAAAAATAGGTATGTTGCTAGGCAACATATTTAGTTCCTAGGAGCTAAAGTTGAATTTTAGTTCCTAGGAACTAAAGTTGAACTTTAGCTCCTAGGAACTAAAAAGGATCTACTGGACGTCATCAAGAATAAACAACATTGTCACGGTTGGTTATTTGGGTTGAGACGCATACCTGATTTGTTTCCGATTTCAGCAGATTTGGCATTTTATACCGATGCTGGAGATATAAATACACCTTATTATAGTTTAGGATTGAAATTATAAACATATCAGTTAAGTATTTTTGTTTGATCAGAGAAGCCTTCAAGATTCAAATACTTGCTTGATCTGTATTTCATTCGTTATTCTCGGGATGGATAACTTGTTTTTGAATAATCACGGCGAGCAATAGTTTTTAGTCTCAAACAAAGATATTGTTTAGCTTCATTTGATTATCAAGTCAAACACGGTGTAGTATGGAGAGGAATGAATAATCATTATTATCAATATTATCATTGTTGATATGCTCACTAACCTAACATTTTCCGCGTCTTGTTCCTATATCTAGCACTGGCGCGGTATTTGCTATTAGAGCACCTGGTCCATACACAAATTTGTTATTCTGTGGTTGTATTTATATTGAAACTACAATTGGAACATCCTAGGAAACCTAACCTGCTGTTAATGCAGGTAGAAATTTTCTCACCACATGAATTATTTGTCAATATTTGTTGCATTGCATACATATGGCACGGCATTGGTGGTTACTTCACATGTTTATTTGAGTTAGTTGTTTCGGTTGCAGAAAAAATAGCATGTTTCATTCGGATCAAAAGTGACTTTGTTCGACTCGCAAATTTTGCGTTCGCTCGGCTTCGCTAAACGCTCCGCCTCGCAAATGCAAAATTCGCTTGTCAAACAAAGTATCACTTTTGATCCTAATAAAACAATCTACTATTTGAATACTATAACATGAACTTGAATGCCTTCTCCTGAATTTTCTTGTATCTTATTTCAGCCTTTACTTACCTCGTCACATTATTTCATATAGTTACATACTTCTGTTATGAATTATTATTGTTATGTGTTACGTTTAAACATCTTCTCTTTCTTCCCACTCATCATATTAGTTTACTTCAATTGTACATATTAGGTTAAGTGTAAGAGTAGCCTTTGGCTAAACTGCGCCTACTATGTACCTTCACCAATAAAGACGATTTATTGATGATTTCAGGCCCTCCGTCTGATCGGCAAAGCGCCGCCCATGAAGACGCACACCGACTGCATGAGTTCGCGGCGCATCGTCAAGCTGCCCGGCTTCGTCGACACGCACGTGCACGTCAGAGAGCCGGGGGCCGCCCACAAAGAGGACTACGCCAGCTGCACGGCGGCTGCCCTCGCTGGCGGGGTCACCCTGATTTGCGCCATGCCCAACACGGACCCCGCCGTGGTGGACGAGGAGGCGTTCGTGCTGGTGAAGCGGCTGGCGAAGGAGGGGGCGAGGTGCGACTACGCCATCTACGTGGGTGAGTATGGAGTGCCTGGAAGATCGGACTTTGGACTGGAAAAAGTCTTTTTCTACTCACATAACTAAAATGGCATTTAGCGTACGGATATGTACCACGCTAAATGATCGATTAATCACGGATTGACGATCTGTGATTTATTCAAAATATTAAACACGTTACCATGGCAACACGATTTCTTAAACACATTACCAAATTATTTTCAAAGGGTTGACAACTAACGAGAAATCCATTACCTAAAATGGTCAGTCAAGTCAAATCAATTTTGAATAAATGCCCAAACCTTATTACTGCACATAACAAATATAAATTACAAATATCTAACCCAAGTGTACCAAGACTATATTGTTTACCAAAAATACACAAACCCGGTAAGAAAATGAGGCCAATTGTATCCGCAATTGGGTCTCCTACTTACAATATTTCAAAGTGGTTGGTTGAAATTTTCAAAACTTTGAATAATCCTTATAACAATCATTCTGTTTCAAATTCGCTTGAATTTATCGAAAAGGTCAAAGGGTTGAATCTGACCGAAGGTGAAATCCTTATATCATTTGATGTTTCATCACTTTTCCCAAGTGTACCCATACCAACAACTTTGGAATATTTAAAGGAATTACTCGAATATAACAATCTATATCCAGATAATATTAAAGAATTGGTTGATCTCACTAACCTCTGCATGAGCCAAAATATTTTTCAATATAAACAAGAAATTTCTGAACAACATGAAGGTACAGCTATGAGGAATTGTTTATCGCCTTTCCTGGCTGAACTGTTCATGAATCGATTTGAAACGAATGCAAAAGAAAAATTCGAGTATTTCCCTAGGGTTTGGATTAGATATGTCGATGATATATTTGCTATTTTTGATACAAAAACCATAGATATAGATAACTTTATTTCAAAATTGAATAACTGCTTCCCCTCTATCAAATTCACTTATGAAAGCGAAAATCAAGGCAAATTACCTTTCTTAGATGTACTTGTGATCAAAAATAGCGAAAACAACTTAGAATTTGATGTCTTTAGAAAATAAACTAACACATTTAGATACATACCTAATGACTCCAATCACTGTTTTCAGCACAAAATGGCAAATTTAAATTTTCTAGTACACAGATTGATTTCATTTCCTCTCAGCAGAGAAAGATTCAATGCTGAAAGAAATGTTGTTTATAAAGTGGCTAGCGTCAATGGGTATGATATCAAAATAGTAGATAAATTAATACGTAGACATAAATTTAAGTTAACACTTCGATATTCTACGACTTTTCAAGCGGATAAAAAGAACTCTAGAAGAATCCCAATCCCGTACAATCCCAAGTATACGAAGGGACTTGATAAGGTTTTCAAAGACTTAGGTTTTGAAAGCGTTTATCAGCCTGGGTCAAAATTAGGCAATTTATTAGGCAATCCGAAAGATAAAGTGGACACACTTGAAAAGTCGGGAATATACGAAATAAGTTGTAATGATTGTGATAAAACATATATAGGCCAAACCAGGCGACCCATAAAAACAAGGTTCAAAGAACACATAGCCCATTTAAAATATGGCAGGTTAGATAAATCTTGTGTAGCCGAACATATGTTCAATCACAATCATAACACACATATTACTAACCTCAAATTAGTTAAGCAAGTTAATAACATTAGAAAACTAGACGCATATGAAAGCTTAGAGATATTTAAGAATAGTAATAGAGTAATGAATAAGGATAATGGACCTATTCCATATAGCCCTCTACAGTTGGGTGAACATATACCTAGTATATAAGCAGCCCACTAGAATAGAATATTTAGTTTTAATCTTCTCCTGAAGATGCTAACATAGTTAGCGAAACACGTGTCGAGGCGTTAAAAAATCGGTTTGGTTAGTGGTAAAACAGTGTAGTGTATTATCGTGCCAAAGGTTCCAGTCTTCGATATACCATGGCAACACAGTTCGTTAAACACAGCTTCAGTAATTCAACTGTTATTTTCAAATTTTGTATCAGAATTATTCAAACCATATTCGTTTGTATTAGAGTTCTCCATTGTAAATATTGTCACAAACTGTAGGCGGGGGTTGCCTAAGTTGTGTTCTAGATCCATTAGAGAATGAACTTCAAAAGTGATAATGATAAAGAATACTCCAAAGGGTTTTCAACAAAACATATACACACATTTATCCTTAAATTCAATGAGTATAACAATGAAAACTTAACTTACCCTATATGTACAAATTAAATGGCATTTCTGGATGCCCGAGGAAGGGCATCTTCTTCTGCCCGAACTCCGAAGGTTCGGGCACAGTGGCAGTGAATGATACCTGTGCTGGCTTCCTCGCGCCTTCTATATATTCAATCTATATTTTGGAAACGTGACAGTGAGGAAGTCAGGTGGATATTCCTGGTTCGTTGAAGTCTAATTGAAAGTTCGTGGTTCAATAATTTTGATCTTCTTCTCCTTCTTCTTCTCTGCACAGGTGGGCGGGTGCGTAGACCCTTGCACTCAGACCTCTTCAGTCGGACCCATTGTGCGCCCACTTGTCCTGTGAATCAGCTGGGCATGCCGATTTCTTTGACGAAATTCAGCAGCTTCCTCAGCTGAGTCACTTTCACATCCTTTGGGTGCAGTACAATGCTCCCAAAGGCAGCTTTCCTCTGATGCACCAGCGCGGGGCATTCATTGAGTATATGTGATGATGTTTCATCATCCTCCAAGCACCATCTGCAGATGGGATCATCTTTGATCCCTATGAGTTCTAGATGCCTGTTGAGGTGGTTGTGCCCAGTTAAGAGCACAACTACCATCTTCAGATCCCTTTTATTAAGTGACAGGATCTCTCTCGTGAGCCTTTTTGAAGGTTCCTTTATATGGAGCTTTGATTGTCTCATTCATGGTGTGTCCCGCCATGTTTCAAGGAACTGCCTCTGTAGCATTTCCTTCATGAAGGACATAGCCGTACTATTGGGTATTCCCAATCTCGGTTCTGGTCCTATGGGTGTCGTTCCTGAACCGATCTTGGCTAGTCTGTCTGCCTCCTCGTTCCCCGGGATACCAGAGTGTCCTGGAACCCACATGAGGCTGACTTTCCTAGTTTTTGCCATATTTTCTAAGGCACTTCTACACTCGGACACCAATTTAGTTGTGATCCTATTGGATCTCAATGCCATAATTTTGATCACTTTTGATCCTAATAAAACAATCACAAAACAATCTACTATTCTACGCAGTTATATGCGGTTTTTCATCGATTTGGCCATGAAAATAATTTTTTCTCCGAAGGTGCCTCTTCCGACAACTACTCGACCATCTCAGACTTCGCCTCCGAGGCCGCCGCCCTGAAGATGTATCTGAACGAAACGTTCACCACCCTCCGCCTGAAGGACTTGGACGTGTGGGCCAAACATCTGGCCAACTGGCCCAAAAGGGCGCCGTTGTGCGTGCATGCCGAGAGTCAGACGACGGCCGCCATCATTTTGTTGTCTAGCTTGCAAAACAGGTAAAACAGACTTCACAATCAAACTCGATTTTTTATAGGAGGATAATTCAATCAACGAAGGCCAAGAAGCATAGGAAATTGGTACTCAGTCCAATCATCTAAGACCAATGATTTAGCTCTCAGGGCCGTATTTATTATAGGTGTCAAATAAACAATGACACTTTTCTCAAGCCCATAATTTCTTTATTTTTATTGAAATTTGATTATTTAAGAAATATTGCAAAGTCTTAGCAGCAAGTCCTCTGAGAAAGACCGGACCGTAATTAGTAAAACTGCATTTGCTCGTTTTATAGATGAATGTAGCTCTCATTGTGTACCAGGTGAACAACTATAAGAAGGACCCGGGATGTACTCGGAAACTTTTTCAGCACAGATTTCGGAAAAATACAGGGTGGGCCACCAGTAACGCCTCGGTCTCTAGAAGGCTAACCACTTATCTTCTTGGAATTCTTCCTCTCTAGGAAGTTGCATGTCAACATAGGCTACCATTTGAAATTATTTTGAAACATACAGGATGTCCCCAAAAATCACAAAACACTGAAGTTGAACTTTTTTCAATCGAACACCCTATATATTATTTCATTTTGAGATTCTCCCTGGTGAGCTGATTTCAACAATCCATCATACTTGGGGTCTAGCAGTTATAATTACTGAGATATAGGGTGTGAGAAATCGAGATTTTCCAAGTTCAAGAATTTTTTGTGTCTAAACCATTCATAATTGGTCAAAACGGCTCACATGTCCCTATCTCAACTTTTGATCAACTATCTACTGACATTTAATTGAAACAAATACAGGGTGGTGCAGAATTCAGAATCTTGATCACCCGGTATATGTCCCAATTAAATATCAGTAGATAGTTAATCAAAAGTTGAGATGAGGACATGTAAGCCGTTTTGACCAATTATGAATAGTTTCGACACAAAAAATTCTTGAACTTGGAAATTTTCACACCCTATATTTCAGTTATTATAACTGCTAGACCCCAAGTTTGATGGGTCGTTGAAATCAGCTCATCAGGGAGAATCTCAAAATGAAATAATATATAGGGTGTTCAATGGAAAAAAGTTTAACTTCAGTGTTCTATGGTTTTTGGGGACACTCTGTATGTTTCGAAATAATTTTAAATGGAAGCCTATGTTGACATGTAACTTCCTAGAGAGGAAGAATTCCAAGAAGATAAGTGGTTAGCCTTCTAGAGACCGAGGCGTTACTGGTGGCCCACCCTGTGTATTCCTGATAAAAATGGCCAAGAGAAATACTGTCTGTAGGTTAATCGAGGAGGTGGTACATTCATTTTACTTGGTTCTTTGGGATTTTCTCTCCTCGTTTCTATAAAATAAAAGTATTCGTATTATTTCAATATATTTGTAGAGGGACAAATCAGATGATTTGCCCCAAAATGTCACTGCGTTTAACAAATTTTTCTATCAGGGAGTCTAAAAGAAAAATCCAGTAGCTTGTCAGTGACAATTTGTTTGAAAAAATTTTTGAAGGAAAGAAATATAGATATATTGAAAAAATATCGAATTTGTACTTATCTTTGGACGTTTCGGGACCGATTCTGCTCCCGTTCTCAACATGTAAATGCAAATTATTTTTCTTTGAAAATTGTGCTGCGTATAGTTTGACACTTTTCAATGTCATACTGATGTTGGCACATGAATGAGTGACCCCAGTCCACAAATGAGTTACAGGATGTTTTCATTAATTGATCTTGAATCTACCATTTTCATGTTCAGTTTTCAGTAGTGAATACCATGTTCTATCAATATCAACTGAACAGGAAGCAATGCTATTGTCTCCGTTTAGAAGAATGCAAGCGGATTCCTTTATTTTTCTTTTTTGTTTGTTATCTTCCTTTCCTATGATTTTGATATTATTCCACTGTGCCATATGTTGTCCATCTTCAGTGAGGATATGTTCAGTTAGCTTCGATTTATCGATATGTGAAACGAAGAGACCTCTCTCAGTAAGGACAAAAGAACACAAGTACAATATCAAGAAAAGACATATCGATAAATCGAAGCTAACTGAACATATCCTCACTGAAGATGGACAACATATGGCACAGTGGAATAATATCAAAATCATAGGAAAGGAAGATAACAAACAAAAAAGAAAAATAAAGGAATCCGCTTGCATTCTTCTAAACGGAGACAATAGCATTGCTTCCTGTTCAGTTGATATTGATAGAACATGGTATTCACTACTGAAAACTGAACATGAAAATGGTAGATTCAAGATCAATTAATGAAAACATCCTGTAACTCATTTGTGGACTGGGGTCACTCATTCATGTGCCAACATCAGTATGACATTGAAAAGTGTCAAACTATACGCAGCACAATTTTCAAAGAAAAATAATTTGCATTTACATGTTGAGAACGGGAGCAGAATCGGTCCCGAAACGTCCAAAGATAAGTACAAATTCGATATTTTTTCAATATATCTATATTTCTTTCCTTCAAAAATTTTTTCAAACAAATTGTCACTGACAAGCTACTGGATTTTTCTTTTAGACTCCCTGATAGAAAAATTTGTTAAACGCAGTGACATTTTGGGGCAAATCATCTAATTTGTCCCTCTACAAATATATTGAAATAATACGAATACTTTTATTTTATAGAAACGAGGAGAGAAAATCCCAAAGAACCAAGTAAAATGAATGGCCAAGAGAAATCTCTGGAAATTATTATAATCTTTAACATTAATTTAATTATATCTTCGGTTCCTCAAAAGACATCACTATGCGGTTTCCATAATTTTTTCTTATCGTTTGCTCTACTTTCATATTATAGTGAGAAAAATATATGGTTCCATTCAAAATTTCCAAGAAAAAATGGAGAATTCACCACGAGATTCAAATCGACCCGAACTGAGATCAAGTTCGTCGAATTCCATTACACCAAACTGTAGTATTAAGATTGTTTCCATATCGCTCTTCATCCTCCCCTGCCTCTTTCATTTTAAGAGCTTTTTTCCGAATTGACCGAATATCAACTTGAAATTATGGATAAAGTATATTCGACATGTCTTATGGCTTACTACCAAAAACTCCTAAGTCTAAATTCTATCGAAGTTTAAGTTTTAACATTTTCACCATCTTCGAAATCCAGCGCACTCATCGCCAAATCATCGTAAGTCTATGTTTTTGGTAGCGACATCTATTAGATATTGAACTCAAAAACTCGTAAGTCTTCAAGAGAGGATAGGGTTGAGTTGTGCTTGTTGAGAAAGTATACATCTCTATTGTTTGATTCATTATCTGAACTGAAATCCATGTCAGACACCAAAGTCAGTTTATGATGAACTATTTGGTCAATCTTCTCGAATATTTCTGCAGTAATGCGAAGGACAATCTTGTTTTGATTCTTCATGTGAACAGATTTACGAGGTTCTGATCTGTATGTCATCTATCTAGTAGAGGACTTAAGAGCTTTTGAGAAGATGTTTTGGATATTTGTATAATTTTATTCTGTTCATTCCAAATGAAGACATTTATTGAAATATTTCGGTTCATTAATGTTGAACCCATATTTCTCATTGGTATCAAAACTGCCGCTGATTTGCTTCATGCACTCTGAAGCAAGGCCAAACTGGATGACAATATTCACTAGTAATTGATCAAAACCAATTCAGTCTGAATAATGTTCAATTTATTTTTGTAAATACTTCGTATTTCGTTTAGTTGAACATTGAGAATATAAATCTTCTCAGAATGTTGATTGCATTCATCAAGCAGGTACCTTTACAAAGGAGGAATAGCCTCAAAAAAATGAAATTGAATCGTTCGAAGTACCTAGTGGAAATCGTTTTTTCCCTCCTGAACAATTAGCTCTGAAAGACTTTTTTGGCAGTAATCCGACGATATATCAAATTTGTGCGGAAATAGATTTCGAGTACAGCAGGCGTCCTTTCTTATAGTTGTACATCCGGTATACAAAGAAGGCTACATTCATCTATCAAAAGAGCAATCAACCACTGAAATATGCCAACAAATAAGAACATTATAACAAAATCGATAATTTCCTAACATCCTTAAAATCAACTACTGATGAAATGTCAGTCATGTGGGTAGGTGTAGTCTTTCCATGGTCAATTGGAACAGCTCCAACGCCCCGCCATTTCGTTTGAAGTTCCATAAATTATATTCAAATTTTGTTACCAGTTAATTTTAATTAAAATAATTTGATGAAAATATTTTGAAGGCCTGTGCATATATGCCATGTGGCAAGGAAGGAAGAGATCATGATTATCAAGGCTGCCAAGGAAAAAGGCTTGAAAGTCACCTGCGAAGTATGTCCACATCATCTATTTTTGTCCACCGATGACATAGGAAGAATTGGAGTATCAAAAAGCCAGGTGGGTTGAATAATAGTGGATTGTTTTATTTGGTTCAAAAGTGACACTTTGATGAGAAAACAATTGTTGTCATGTCGATCAAAACACAAATTAGTTAGTGTAATTCTCCTCAGAGTGACAGAGAGAGCGTTACTGTCATTTTCGATTCAGTGGAATTGTGATGAAAAACTTCCAGCCAATTTTGCATTTACAACTTTTGTTTTTCAATCTCAATTTCTTCTTGATATAAAATCATGTTTGGTTTTTCTATTGTAGATACACTTTGTTGCTAATTTGACTGAATAAGATGGCCATTTGAATCTATCAAACCATATTGAAGCAGGATTGACTGCCTCCTTCGACATTAAAATTGTGGAGACGACATTGAGTCTTTGACATCCAAAAATTACTATTCCAGGTTAGACCAGTGCTAGTGTCCCCCGAAGACCAGCAAGCCCTGTGGGACAACATGCACATCATCGATTGCTTCGCCACTGACCATGCGCCGCACACGCTGGAAGAGAAGCTCAGCGACAAAGCGCCGCCAGGCTTCCCGGGCCTGGAGACCATTCTGCCGCTGCTGCTCGACGCTGTCAACGAGGGCAGGCTGACGCTCGAGGACGTGGTCAACAAGTTCCACAGGAACCCGAAGAGGATCTTCAATTTGCCCGACCAGCCGAATACCTACGTGGAGGTGGATATGGACGAGGAATGGGTTATACCCGAGGCGATGGCTTATAGTAAGGCTAGGTGGACGCCTTTTGCTGGAAAAAAAGTGACTATGATTTTTCTTCCTCTATTTCGTGAATCTGATGAGTTTGTGGATACAATTGATACAAATTATAAGACTTTGACTTGTAATTATATTATATAAAATGTCACATCAATGTCAGACTATAAAATCATGATATATCAAGTACATAACATAACTAGTCACCATAACTATACTCTGGTCAGTTCACTTTGTGAATCTTCTGTTCGGTTGGTATGGACTGGATGGTTTTCTCCGATTGAGTGGCAAGTATCAAATACTGCTTCTCTTCTCTGATCTGCAACAGAACATCACATATCAATCGAAGTACATTCATATCAGAAAATAAATATCATTAGATGAATTACATGGATGTTGAATCTGAGACATACCTGAATAATATATTCAACGTCCGTAAGTGGATTGCTACATATCCGCTTTCATTCCGAATAGTGTTGTTTCCAGCAGGCATCTTCCACATTTTCAATTACGTACGTGGGTTATATTAAGGACCTTGAAGGCCAAACGATGTGCTGCTCGAATCTAAAACCAAGGATCAATTTCAAATTTGAATCGTGAGACCTACATAGAATATTTGATATTGTTTTCAACATTCGTAACTGGAACGCGATATATTTTTGTAATTCATCAATTATCTCAATGAAGACGAGACAGGCAGATGAACACCAATTTTCTCTGCAATGAAGAACACTGTATATACCTAACCCACCATGCGCCTACCTCCTTTGCAGAGAGGGTTTATAAACGCCGAGTTGATACTCTCCCCTCGTAAGGGTACCTGTCGTGTTTTCATAGAGACATAAAGGTGAATATCTGTCTTATCTGTTTTCTTGAGAATCGGGAAAGGATATCAATATATTGCCTTCCGTACGAATATAATGATCTGAATTCTGTAAAGTATACTCTGGTCAGGTCTCTTTGCGGATCTTCTGTTCGGTTCGTCTTGACTGGGTGGTTTTCTCCGATTGAGTGGCAAGTATCAAACACTGCTTCTCGGATCTGCAACTAAACATCACATATTATTCGAAGTACATTTAAATCAGAAAATTGATATCATCAGATGAGACATACCTGAATGATATTTTCATCGTCCGTAACTGAATAGTGATTTTCCAGTAGGCATCTTCCACATTTTCAATCACGTGGGTTATATTAAGGACCTTGCATGCTAAACAAATGAAAAGTCTGGATATTGTTTTCAACATTCGTAACTGAAACGCGATATATTTTTATAATTCATCAATTCATCAACTATCTCAATGAAGACGAGACAGGCAAATAAACAACAATTTTCTCTGCAATGAAGAACACTGTATATACCTAACCCACCATTTATTCAAGCAAACCATTGTAATATTGAAAATAGAAAAGGACAGAAGTTCAGCTGTGTCCGAACTCTTAATTAACTAATACCGTCTAGTCACCATAAGTTCATCATAAAGTGCAAATGCATATCGACAGCTTCTATTACAATTTGCAGATTTTCATATTTTTGGGGTGGTAAAATCAGACGTTCATGTATAAGTCAACATGAAATATTTTTGTCTTTCTAACGAAAATCATTTTCTAATCTGTAATGTGCGTCGTGATTTCGTCTAATGTCAGTTTTTGGAGTGAAATTTCTGATGGAAAATTCTTGAGTTAGTAAGGAAATTAATTCAATAAAAAATAGCTCCAGTGTTTTTTGTCAAATGAATCAATGACAATATACAAGGTGATTCAAAATTCGATTTAAATATTCCAAGGTCGTATATAAAAAATTATCTGAAATTGTGATCATAAAAACGGATCAAATCGTCTGAAAATTGGCTGAACAAATATTTTTACCTCTGAAACTCCTTTGGTGTGGATTAATAACGCTTTTGACTCATACAATTACCTGTATGAAAGAATTATTATCCATTTGTGAATCTTTTCCATTTGCAACTGGGAATCTTTCCACATAGTAGGAGATCAATAAATCATGATTTTTGAATTTTTATAGCCAAACAATTTCTATTATTTCCGGATTCTGGCAAATTTGTGTTCCATTCACCGAGTTGTGACGTCAGTGGTTCTGAGTGTCAATTTCGACCGTTTCAATAGGACTGTGGCTTCATTCGTGACTTTGATACTTGAAACTAAAAGTACTATACCGATTCTGGACCATTTCCACTATATTTTCCCATGTTAATCCTTATGAGAGGAATTCAGGACAAAAATAGCGAATGTGGTCGTTCTCAAGGTCATCTCGAAGTCTACGAGCGATCTAACCGCAAGCCTATGATAAGAACCACAAACTGAGATAACACATCTACAAGTAATGCACCTATATCACTCTCAGACCAATCGACCCCTATCTCACCCAAGCTTTATTCTTAACTGGAATACCTGCCTAACCCAATGTAGTTTGTCGAATTCTCATACTTGTAGTCGATAAAATACAATGTTCTCACAGGCCTTTGGAACATATAACATTTCGTTATCAAATGACGGTCGAAATTTGGTACAAAGGCACAGGTTCAACTGACGTATGTATGGCTGATGACCTGAATGGCCAAAATTATTAACTTATCAATCAATAAAAAATCAATCAAAATTGCCATCTGTGGGCGGTGATGGCAGTAATGGTATACTTGATAATGAAACTTGCTATTTTTCGTTTTAGATCAAGGGTTCAGTTCATAGAGTGGTCCTTCGAGGTGAAGTGGCTTACGTCGAGGGGCAAGTTTTGGTTCAGCCAGGGTTCGGGCAGAACGTCAGAGATTGGGACAGACGTACCTACAGCATCACCGTGGAATCCAGTAGGCCGTCTTCTTCTCTAGGTTTGGAGCGGCCGACTTCACCATTCCATCACTCTAATGGTAATATCAAGATATACTTCATCTTAAGCAAATTGATTTCATCAATAGAAGAACTATTCCCTATTCCGTATCGACATTTTTTTTCCATCATACTAGAACTTGTTCTGACTGGAAGATATGTTTGATAAATAAATAAATAAACTCTAGTCTAAAGAAGAGTTCCTAAATGTACTTGACACTGCTGTTTTGACGTTTTTTGTATATTACAAGCAGTGACAATCAAACAAGAATATGTTTTTCGCTTGGATAAAGGATCCTCGTATCTTCCTTCCTCCACAAGTCCTGAAAAAGTACATTCATATGTCTTTCTCTGTCTTTGATTTTTGTATGAGAGTGCATAGCGTCTCCTCGAGTGGGATAAAGGGTACGATAAATTGATAAGAAAATTATTTTATCGCGAAATATTGAATGATAAGGCTGAAGGACCTCAATGGAGGTCGATATCAAGTTAGTATGTACATATATACCAACGAAATATTCCCATGAAATAAGTCTCTTATAGTTTGTAGGTATATGTATATGATCAGTTGAATATTTTTTTTATCACAAAAGTTCAAAATGGGGAAAAACTGATAAATTTCAACCAATGAAACATACTTTCATTTCGTATGGAACAAATTAACTTGTACAAAAGTGGTAGGTAATAAGTAATTGATAAATGAACATGAATCATGAGCATGATGATAAAGCAACATTTTTACTAATATTCAATTTTTTATTCAAATCTTCCATTCAATTTTCCAAATGCAAAAGTTTTTCATAGTATTGTTCATCGAAACTATGAATTTTGCTCAAAATTGCCTGGATATTTGCTGGTATTACTCTAAAGATATTTGCTGATTTTGTTTCAAATCTGAAATAATTTTTAGGTATAATAGTTCTGAAACTCTCTGACTCTTGTATCTGATTGTTTTTGCTTCAACTTATTTTTCAACTCTCCATTTTTTTCTTCTATTTTTTGTAAATATGTCCGAAATGAATTTCATCATCTGCAGTTTTTCGTTTCTTGTTGGTTCTAAATTGGAATTAGGATCTATTCTATACTCGCTCTGTATATATATTGTGGGTTCGGTTCTCTCTCTCAATACTATCCTATTCTTCAACATCAAATCTTCCTTTCTGAAGCGTACCTGATTAAAATGCGTTGAAAACTGTTCAATATCCTACCAAGATATTTGAATACCTCGCAAATTTTGTGGCCTAAACCCATATTCCATGCTGGCCGCATCATATTCTGTTTCCATTTTTCTAGAATTACGTTATCCGATGGAAATTCGAATAGAGATTTCCCGTGTTCTCATAGTTGGAAACTGCACAAGATTTAGATTAGATTTGGAATGGGGCCTTCGGGCCATCTGCCTCCACACTGCGACCTTTTCAGATCTATTGTGTCTGCCCTCAAAATCGATTAGAGTTCTTCGGCTAGCCCCGCCTTCTCTATGAGACTCCATAGGCTAGCTTTCAGATCTCCTGTGTATCTCTAAGCTTCTGGTATTTCCTCACCCAGCGTAAGGAACCTTAGTCTTGACAAGCCCTCACAGTGGCAAAGTATGTGTACTGCTGTTTCTTCCTCTTCTTGACAGAACCTGCACAGCAGTTCTTCAGTCAGACCTATCGTACTCATGTGTTTGTTGAGCCTACAATGCCCTGTGAGAAGTCCCACTAGTATTCTAGTTGAACTTCGTTTCTGGCTTAGTAGATATTCTGTGAATGTTGGCGATGGTTTTTTAATAAACTCTTTAGCCTGTCTCATTCCTGGCGAGTTGTTCCACCATTCTTGAGATTTGGTTTGCATCCATGATTTGATACTAGTCTTTTGTATAGCTTTCGCAATACCACAGAAGGGTTCTGGGCCATTAAGAGCTTTGTTTGCTCCTGCTCGGGCAAGTGAGTCTGCCTCTTCATTGCCCTCGTACCCTGTATGTGCTGGTACCCATGCTAGAGTCAATCTGTTCTGACTGCCCAGTGCATTTAGGGTTTCTAAGCAGTCCCATACTAGTGCACAAACAACAAACTTGCATCTTTCTCCTAATTCTCTCAATTTGTCAAACTTTTGATATTTATGACATGTACGTCCGCGTACTGCCAGTTCCCGCTTTTTCCATCAATTTATTTAATTTGTCAAACTTGATATTTATGACATGTACGTCCGCGTACTGCCAGTTCCCGCTTTTTCCATCAATTTTTTTGTGGTTATGTCTGATTTCCAGTGCTTGTCATAGGCTATATTCCGAATTCAACTGGTCAGTACTGTCAGTAGATCCACTGACTCTGCTGAAAATCTGTGTTCCAAAATATGAAATCGAAAATACAGTGCTGTAATTCGGGACACGTTTTCATGGTTTTCATCAGTAGCCAACGCTGCTTCTTCTTTCGTTACCTCTACTACTTCATACTCAATATTCTCAGTGCTTATCATATCAATAATAACAGGTATTTTCTGATATTGAGAATAATATATTATTAACAACGGAAATGAATGTTACATTCCTTCCCCCTCTAAAATAATGACAGTCCACTGAAGCCACACTACCTTTCGAAAGTCAGCAATTTCAGCAGAATGTTGAGTCGAAATATTTGGAATGAATATTATGTCTGCTCACAAGCATCTGTCACTTTCAGTGAATATTTTGATTTCGGAATGAAAAATCAGCAGATTCAGTACTGTCAGTTGAATTCAAAATATAGCCATAGTGTCCGTATTTTAATATACAAAAAACGTCAAAACAGCTGTGTCAAGAACATTTAGGAACTCTAGTCCAAAGTATTTCCTGTTTACAGGCAACATCGACAGCGACACCGACGGCCAAACCAACGAGATCTTCTCCAAGCTTCTCACCGCCGATGCCAAAGTCCACTTCGCGCACGAGCCGCACGCGCATGCGCTGGACTCGCGCCTCTCCCCCCTACCACCTCGGGTGCGCACCGAGAGCCTCACGATGGGGGAGCGCAGGGCGAAAGCGGACGCACAGGGTGTGGGGGACGGCGTTCATCATTCGACGGGGTTGCACGGCAAGCACGTGTTGGGGGTTGACATGTTCACCAAGGACCAGCTGAACGACATCTTCAATTTGGCGCAGAGCTTTCGGGTGTATGTTGGCAAGGATAGGCCGTTGGATCATATTTTGAAAGGTAAGGTGCAAGGTTATATGTTTGTTCACAGGTCCGCTCCTTGAAACAATTGATATACACTCTGTGATTCATTCATTAATCATTAAATGGTATACACTAGGGTTATTATATAGTCGCTATGAAATCAAACCGGCGTATCTGCAGAACTTCTATTTTTCACCAGAGCGCTTCAAAGTTTTTTTATTCGATTATTTCTTTATATCTAATTTATCTTTCATCTCAGAGCTCTTTTTTGTGCATAAAATTGAGTTCGGTTTTGCTTGTAGCTGTATCGGTGGCAAATAAATAGAAAATTTTCTGGGAACAGAAAAATATGCAGATATGTCGGTATATTTCTTCAAAGTTCATGATATGGGTATAATTTGCTAAAGTGTCTGGAGTATCTGCCAATAAGCCACGCTCGAGGCTACGCCTGTGCAGATTAGAGTGAGTAGTATTGGGAGAAAATTCGGTTTTACTTACAAGCTGCAGCAGTTTTCATCACGACATCTCATGCTGAACTGACGTATTGGCAATACACCTGTTATTTCGCCAAAAGCCATACCGGCACAGGTACTTTCATTACCCTATATTATATAAGATATTTTCATTTGTTGTCAACATGACGACGTGTTGTTGAAACATGACATGTTAATAAGATGTATCAATAAAATCAATGAATAAAGAAGCATTTCAAGTCAAGTCGAATTGCAATTCTCATATCAATTTTTATTTCATTATCATATCCATACAAATACAGTCCACTACACATCGAACATATTGGTCCTTCGAGCCAGATCTGTCCAAATCAAACCTTCAAAACTACCAAGTTCTGCACAAAGGATACAGAGCAGCACTCAAGACTACCTGGAGTAACAGTGAATGCTGAAGGTTTCACGGGAAGGGAAAGACGCTGGATGACTTGAATTATAATCTGACAATCTCTATCATCCATTTTCCTATTGAGTGATGGATTTGATATCTGAATTAGCAGGATTTGGAGAATGAAACATGAGAACGAATAATCTGAATAGTTCAAATAGTTGCTTCTAACACAATTATTCTTCCTCGATAGGAAAAATCATGGCGTCCGTATTCTACGAGGTGAGCACGAGGACGAGCTGCAGCTTCGCGGCAGCCATGCAGCGGCTGGGAGGCAAAGTCATTTACATGGACGAGACCAGCTCGTCGGTGAAAAAGGGGGAGACCCTAGAGGACTCGGTGGCAGTCATGGCGGGGTATGCAGACGTAGTGGTGTTGAGACATCCGGCGCCCGGGTCTGTCCTAGTAAGTTCAACCATTGATTATTTACACTAACAAAATGAACCATCCTTCCCACTAAACAAATGTGGATGTTATGTTGATGCTAGGTTGTAGCGGTTACTAGAATGGACGTTCAGCAATATTGCAAAAGTGAAGTTTATAAATGTAACGTTCCAGCAAAGTCACAGCAGCATGTAATATTGCTGCAACGCTACATTATCAAACAGTCTAGGCAAGGACACAATTGCGTGAGGATAATTTGAATGTGTATTCGATAAAATATGTTGTAATATTTCAAAAAAACACCATTTGAATACCTTACAATTTCATGAAACGTTCGAACATAGCGCTCGGCGGCGCCAGTACTGACTTGATAATTCCTTTCCCTGTGTTGCCAGCTGTTTTATTTTAAGGAAGCATCAAGTAAATATGTGAACTGTGAACTGGTGAGATAATTTGATATTCATTGATGAAGTAAATGTCATCAATATAGTATGTAGTATGGTATAAGTTGTTTCCCTCATTTCCAATTCTTCAAGATTATAGCTGACATGATTAGTAATCAAGTTTTTTTGAAAATCTAGAAGGGATAAAAAATGCAAGAAAATTCTCTGCATTTTCTCATCGTGATTTTTACTAGAAATGAGTGTTCTTGCCTAGCAATGCTTATTTATACATTCGGTATTTTCAATAATCTCCTTCACCCCAACTTTAGATTGAAAAATTCAATAAGTTTCAAGTTTTTGCCTCGATTCACCCTGAATTACTCTGTTTTCAACCCTCCCTTCCCGTATATGGAATATGGGGATATAATATATAGAGGGATCCACATATAATATATGGAGGGATCCACATTCAAAAGAGACAAATTTCTGATTCAAGATTCAGCAAATTTCTGATTTAAGATTCAGTTTCAAAATATTGAGTATTAAAAGCGTGAAATCTACAATCATTCACCTAAGATACAGCATAATATTCCATAACAAAATCAGACAATAGTATATTTCATTAGGAGTCTGGAAATAGGGATTTTTCCGTGCGCGTGTGACAAATTCTCGGGAAGTCATGCAAACCATTTCTGGACGAGTAATGAACGATATATTTTATTAAACTTCGTTGAAAATGAAAATATAATGATAAAAGATTATATAAAAAAGGCAAACTTGGAACATCATTTTCACAGTTATAGGAATGAAAAAAACTGGCACTTCTAGACCTGGATTTTACTGCTAAAAAATTCGCGGTCGCTTGTGCCGCTTGCTCCAGGATATTATCGGGAATTCCGGGATTTTCTTCAGAGTTCATTTTGTCGGCATAAATTTGATTGACAGAGAATAAACAATGCTGACAATACAGTGTTTGGCATGTATGATTCGTTTCCATGGTTATTCTCAAAGTTTTTCCGTGCGATAGCCCGAAAAAGCCTATCTGACAATAGGCCTGTTCCTTTCCTATGGAAGTGTGACACTGAACTACACTTTTTACAAAATAGTGGTCCTTTCCTTCAGTTGTTTTCCCCACTACACCTTGTCGTTCCTTTGCAACAGTGTAATTACACCAGTGTAGGAAATACACTGACAGATGTTAAATTGTTATTTTTGATAAAATCAGCGAATCAGAGTGAAATCTGAAGAATTATAAATTATTATTCATAAGAGGAAAGTTAGCAAATTCCGTATAAATGGTATACCTACACGTGGATCTGGGTGAAACTGGAAAAATGAATCCTTCGTAAATTGAAATACGGTTAGTATTTATTCTTTACAACTGTACACCCGACTTTCGGAATCACTTTACCATGGATATTTTTGAAAAGGCCTACAGGTAAAGGAGACTGGAGCAATTTGGAATACTCCTTGCTAATTTTGAATAATGAGATTGACAGGCAAAGATGGTCCTTTTTCAAGCACACTTCAATCATAGGCCTCTCAATGGCTGTGACTTGATGCAAATAGGTAGGCATACTGAACAACTTTTCCACAGGAAATGTAGGCACATCGCACATCACATCGAAATTAGATGATAGTCAGAATAACAGAATAGTCGGCCTGTTATTTTTTATTTTAGATGAGGGCCCATAGCACAGTTTAATCATCTATTGTAAGAGGTATTTACTGTGCCCATAGTAACATCACGGACAGCAGATACCACAAAGTTATTGTTTTGTTATGCTTCTACTGAGAATATTTGCCCATCAGAGTGGGAAAAAAATGATAATTAAAAACAAGAAGGCTATGTGGACAGTAATTACTTCAAAGATCTCGCAAAACCAAATTTCTGTATGGGTTTTGTTTTCACAGTGCCATGATTGTAAACAAATGATCTACACGATCAAATCAGCTGGTTTTTAGTGGTGGTGTAAATGACACTACACTGAAAGCAGAGGAACAAAACTAAATATTACTAATGTAGATGAACACAAGTGGATGTCAAAGAAGTGTAATAAGAACATTATTTTTTTCATTTAGAAAGCGTCCCATCATTGTCGGAAACCTCTGATAAATGCAGGAGACGGAGTAGGAGAGCATCCTAGTCAGGCCCTGTTGGATATCTTCACTATCCGCGAAGAAATCGGTACTGTTAACGGGCTGAATATAACTTTGGTCGGTGATCTCAAAAACGGACGTACTGTACATTCCCTGGCCAGACTACTGACACTTTATAATGTTCAATTGAGGTAGGTCAATTTTTCCGTTTGTCTCATGGGTACAAAATAATTCTTCCGTCATTGTTGTGAACGTTTCCAAACGAACTGAAATCATAATGGCCGAGTGAACTGATAATGAATTATTGGCATCCAATTACTCCACTGTGTCCTCAGTAACCTAAATTCAATTTTGCAACACTTCTCATTGTTGTATAGTTACATTTTTCAATGAGTTATATTTTTTTTTCCTTTTTATCTGATATGAAGCTCGTAGGAAAAACGTTGTTCCTAACACGTGCGCAAAGTGTCTTTTCCGCAAGCAAAAACTTATACGAACTCCGCTCCGCGACGTTCGCCTAACTGTATTTGCGTGTGGAAAAGTAACACTTTGCGCTCTTGTTGAGAAAATAACTATTTCAATACAAATCAGAAATTTGAGTCTATTCACATGTAATATTTAAAAAAAAATTGTAAAATTTTTTTTAGGTACGTGAGCCCTCCCAGTTTAAAAATGCCAAGTCATGTGACTGAATTCGTCAGATCTAAAGGAATACAACAGGAAGAATATAGTTCCATGGAAGATGTATTGCCTGATACAGATGTTCTATATATGACCAGGATACAAAGGGAAAGATTTGATAGCCAGGAGGAATATGATAGGGTATGTATAATACGGAAAATTGTTGAATTATCCATAATAATTGTAGTTTTTGTGAATACGTTAAAATCTGGGCATAATTTTATCATCCAATACTTTCTAGTAAATGAATACCATTTAATATCTGCATAGCCAGTATTTGAATACTTCTCAACTTGATACAGATATTATATTTATAAAATCTATCTTTTCATTTATAAATACTTTCTATAGCATTTAGTATCAGTGAATGATTTCTAGAACATTTTGAAAATACTCAAATACATTCATGGGGGTATTGAAATACTACTAAAAATACTTTTTCTGCAACCGGCACAAAAGTCGTCCATTTTAATACCAATTGACGTTTCTATTACTGACACAAACATAGATATGTTGCTATTCAACACTTTCAGTTCCTAGGAACTAAAAAGGATGTACTAGGCCATGAAGAATAAACAACAATGTTATGGTTGGTTATTTGGGTTGGGACGCATAACTGATTTTTTCCCGATTTCGGCAGATTTGGCATTAAATACGCATGCTAGTGATATAAGCACATCATATATAGTTAAGTATTTTTGTTTTGGTCAGGAAAGCCTTCAAGATTTACATACTTCCTTGACCTGTATTTCAATTATTCTCGGGATTTGATTGATTGGATAACTTGTTTTTGAATAATCACGGCCAGCAATACTGTTTCCTCACAACGATATTGTTTACCTTTATTTGATTACCGAGCCAAACACAGTGGAATATAGAGAGAAATAAATAAATCGCTATTATTATTGTTGATATGCTCACTAACCTAACATTTTCCACTTCTTTTTCCTATACCTGGCACTGGCGCGGTATTTGGTATTAGGGCAGAAACCCGGTCAAAATGAATTCAGCGATTCAATAGAATACACAAATGGGTCACTCTGTGATTGCAATCATTATTCTAATGTGAAGTAGTCTGAAGTCTTCTATCTACTTACCTATATCATTATATTAAAGGTTTAATAATAATCTGTCGAGTAAGTCACATTGGTGGTTATCTCACATATCAATTTCAGTTGATTCTTTCGGTTGCGGAAAAAAGAGCATGTTTCATTCGGATCAAAAGTGACTTTGTTTGACTCGCAAATGCAAAATTCGCTCGTCAAACAAAGTGTCACTTTTGAACATAATAAAACAATCTACTATTCAAATATTCAAATACTTTAAAATATTCATAATTATTATCAGAAATATTCCTCAAAGCATCAAGAGATTTTAATGTTTCAAGATCCAGACAGTCAGTCAGTATTTATTATTCAAATACTTGCCACCCTTCAAATATTTTGAAATCTTTTCAGTTCATGAATGTGTTGAATATCTGATTACTTTTTCATAACATTCCGATTTTTTTATTTTTTTCAGGCTTGTGGGCATTTTATTGTGACCCCCAAACTGATGACTAGAGCCAAGAGGAAAATGGTAGTGTTGCATCCCCTTCCTAGGGTGTTTGAGATAAGTCCGGAATTCGATTCTGATCCTCGTGCTGCATATTTCAGACAAGCAGAATGTGGAATGTATGTTAGAATGGCATTGCTGGCGATGGTTTTGGGAAAATGTTGAGATACAAAATATATAAGAGGAAATAGGTTCTTCATTGTATTCATTCCCCTTTTTTCAAGTATTTAAATACTTTGGAAATACTCAAATACTTCTGGAATATTCAAATACTTTCAGCATATTTAAATACTTTTTGGAATTTGAAAATATTTGATATCTAAATACACTCAGTTCCAAAAAAAAGTGACGCACTTGATATTTGACTTATCTTCTTAAAAAAAAAATAGGCCGATTTTTATTTTTTTTCATTTGTTGGTAGGTAATGCATTTGTCTATGAAAAAAACCTTGATGGTGGTGAAAAAACTCGAAACATGATTTATTCTTAATTTTTGACTCACCCTGTGTGTTAATTGAGTAATGGTATACGAAGTGCTCGCACCATCGCACCCTTTACCAAAGAGGCTTCTTTCGCGAGCATTTTGTTTTTTAATTCATTGATTTATCTCTAAAATTTTCCGAATTACAGCTTATTTTGCTGAATCCTTGGAGATTACCAACTTTCTGAATTTATCGAGAAACAATTTTCTAATGGAATAAACTGATACAAATAATTAAAAAAAAAAAAAAAAATATTAAACACACACATTATGAATTGGGATGACTGCTTGATACCGTGTATTGCCTCCTCTAGCAACTCTAAGAACTTCAAATCTACGAGGCATACTGGAAATTGCGTTGCTTATCGTTTCCATTGGTATACGATCCCATTCTTCCACTAATGCATCTGCCATTTCTGCGAGACTTTCCGGATACCTCTCGCAAGAAACTACCCTTCTCCCTAATTCGTCCCACAAATGTTCCATAGGATTCATATCGGGGCTTCTCGCAGGCCATTGTAATGTGGTAATATCAGTAGCTTCTAAGAAGTTTCGCACTATTGCTGCGGTGTGTGGTCGGGCATTATCCTGCATCAATATAAAATTATTGCCCACTAACTCTGCATAAGGTAAGACATACTGCTCTAAAATGTCAATGTAAATTTGGGCATTCATCGACTGCCTCACCGGAAAAACATGAAGGGGTGTCTTTCCATTCATTTAAATCCCTTCCCACACCATAACAGACCCACCATTAAAACTTTCGCATTCTGTTATTAAATTTTGATTAAACCGTTCACCAGTTCTTCTCCACACTTTTTTTCTTCCATCCACCAAGGCAAAACCTTGACTGTAAACAAGACATTCGACCATTCAGGAATATTCCACTGTCCATAATTTTCAACAATATTTCTTCTAGCAGCACGATGTTCGGGCAATAATTTGGGACCTTCTGCAGGTCTCATAGCTTTCAAATTAACTTCTTTCAGACGTCTACATACCGTCTGCTTACTTACTGCAACATCACGAATTTGGCGAAGATCTTGCTGAACATTTACCGCAGTATTTGATCAATTCCGTAAAATCCGCAATCTCAAGAAGCGATCATCTCTTGGAGAAGTTTTTCGGGGGCGACCAGAACCGACCCTCCGAGCGGTGCTTCCTGTTTGTTCGTACTCGCGGATTGCTCTACGAGCAGTTGCTTCCTGAACTCCCACTGCACGAGCGGCGTAACGTTTACTACGCCCATCGTTTACTAACGCAACTAATCTTGCCACTTGTTCAGGATTTATTTGAGGCATTTTGTGTAATTTTAGTCAATAAAACAAGACACTTAATCAATGACACAACGACAAATGGTCAAATATGGAGGCATACAACAAATTAGTTGCTATGGAAACGGCATTTGTTTTCTTAAAGATAATGTGATCCTACCAGAGTACAACCCAATCAATTTTGAGTACTCTGATCCTTCAATAAATTTAATTTGTGGGATAAGCGTAAGGTATCAGCAAAAAAGCTGTAATTCGGAAAATTTTAGAGATAAATCAATGAATACAAAAACAAAATTCTCGCAAAAGAAGCCTCTTTCGTATAAAGTGTAAGCACTTTGTATACCATTACTCAATTAACACACAGGGTGGGTAAAAAACTGAGAATAAATATCATGGTTCAAATCATTCCACCACCATCAAGGAGGCTTTGAAAAAATTTTCACCGCTTTATTTTTTTTAAGACAAATGCATTACCTACCAACAAATGGAAAAAAAAATGAAAATCGGCCGACTATTTTTTGTTTTTTTTTGTTCTAAGAAGATAGGTCAAATATCAAGTGCGTCTTTTTTTTGGAACTGAGTGTATTTTCAATACCTATCCAAAAGAATTCAATACTTAATATTTAAATTCTTTTCTCTGAGTATTTGCCCAGCTCTGTATTGAAATTATATTTTTTGCATAGTAAATTGATGAGAATCATGCTATGATGACACCTGGTGTTATTTAAAAAAAACTCCTCATAATGAACTAACATTGACTAAAACATTTTTGAAAAATAAGGACTCTGTATCTAAATAATATCTTAAACATTTAATAAGTCATTTTCATTATTCACATATATTTTACAAACATATTCACACAATAATAATCAGAGCATAGATGAACTAATAAATTCCACAACTACACAGAACAAATTGTTTTTCAGTAACAAAAAGAAATAATACTCCAGATAATACTTGAACAGAATTGAAATACATTTTTTTCAGACAATCTTTGCACCACAAACTAAAGTGATATATGTTTTTTATGTGATGCAAATGTCAGGTAAGTAATAAAAAAGAAGACTGAATAATAGGCCTTTTCATATAGATATATTTTTAAGACGCATGCGCTCGTTAATAGATCCAAAATTTGATTGGGTAATACGAAGGTGAAGTCTCATTGGCTATAGTTCCGACACAAAATTCTGATTGGCCATTTCGAAAATAGCGGTTTTTATTGAGGTTCTGTTAAATGTCAACAGTGTCAACCACCATGGGCATTCGTCATTGAGAAACAACAATAACAATATATTATTTTCGTTTCTATATTCCTTGAGTATTAATTGTATTATATTAAGTTAAATCGAGAAATCGTTACTGAGGAGTGTGGTGCAAGTGTTTCGGTGATAATGGCCGCCACTGTCGTTGGATGCGAGATGTAAATACAGATAGTCATTTGTCATCTTAATGAAAAGGCCTAAAGACCTTACAAGAAGCAGAAAAATATTTACTCTAAAATATCCAATATAGTCATACAAAAATAGAAAGCTATGTATTTTGCTTACATAGTTCTTTCTTTATTCAAGCAATTTTTTATACTATGCCATTAGAAGAAGACGGTTCAGACTCCTGCATTTTGTCCACTATTGTATCTTCATCTTCTTCTCTGATTGTCTGACCTAGTGATGGAATTGGCAGCCTCAACCTGAGGTTTTTCTTTTTCAGCTTGGGTTTGAGGGTTTGTAGTTTTCTGAAAATTATATAAGAATCCATCTAGTTTGCCTCAAATACATAATATAGAATAGAATAGAATAAATCCTAATTTTAATTATTCCCTTTATTATCCCCCATGGTTTATTCAGAATAGGCCTTTTCATCTAGATATATTTTTGAGGCGCATGCGCTGGTATTTAGATCCAAAAATTTATTGGGTAATGTGAAGGTGAAGTCTCATTGGCTATAGTTCCAACACAAATTGCTGATTGGCCATTTCGAATATGGCGGGTATTATTGACGTTCTGTCAAATGTCAACAGTGTCAACCACCATGGGCATTCGTCATAGAGAAACAACAATAACAACATAGTATAAACAGAGATAGGCATTTGTCATCTAAATGAAAAGGCTTATTGATGACAAAAAGCTACAACACAATATTGAATGAAACTCCACTTTTACTAGAGATGAAAAATTATCAGAATATTGAAAAAATATATCAGGTACAGGGAGGACCTTTATGGTATATAATTCTACCCAGAAGACCTGAGGAAAATCATCTGTCTATCTGTAGAAAATAATTAGAATACCTTGCAAAATAAAGATGATAATTATAGCAAAGTTAACCAATAAAGATAAACATCATATTGTCAAAATGTGGATCTTCTTGAACAATATACTGGGAAATATTTTTTTCATCTTCCTGCTACTAATTACCTACTGATTCAAAATACTTACTGTTGTCGACAATCTATGAAGATAGCTATCAGGAATAGTAAGGTTATTGCCAAAATGGCGGATATCACAAATATGACTACTGTTGCTAGTTGTTTGGACTCTGCTTCTATGAGTTCTGGAAGATTTGTGGACTGTGTTGAAAATTCCCCTGGAAATAAAAATGTAAGTTTATCTAGAGGTTTCTAGTTGGATTCACATTTATATAGAAGCCTGATGCTAGGTTTATAGATTCAATTAAACATAATAATTAGGAATCAACATTCAACAATTAATTATCATGAGGGTGTTAATATATATCTGGTATAAATTGAATTAAATGTGAAATGTCTTTTGATTAAAGATCAAAATAATGTTTTAAAGTGATTTTAGTCTACACAATTCATGAATCCATGAAAAAATATTCCATTTAAATATCACCAAACTCAACTTGAACAATAACAAATCCAATCTTTAAGTTCTGCCTCCAGAATTTCCTGATTCTTTAGTTGTTAAGAAGAAAGGTGGCCAAGCCGGCAAACTTTATAATCCATAATTCAAATGATGTAAATGTATAAAACCTCAGTTGATTTCCTTGTATTCAACTTTTTGAGTTCATAATTGTTAGTTTTATTCTTAGTTTAGTTGAATCTATAAACCCAGCATGAGATTCATCCCCAAACACTACATTATGGAATTGATTTTCCAAAGGAAAACAAATGCAACAAAGATCAGAGGAAAAATGAATGTAACCAGTGTGAATGGTGTTCAAGAGCAGAAAAGACATGACAAAGAGCAGAAGGGGGAAAATAATACAAATGCAGTATTATTACACCTCAGTAACTTTTCATAAATTTATAATAAATTAGAATAATTAGATTAAACACAACATACAAGTCCTACAAGGTTTGTATGGTGTAAACCTGCCTATGCTATTCCAGGTTTCTGCACCTTACTGATGAAATAGTTTGAATTTTGACACTGCTTGTCAAAGTCCATAAGAAGATTAATCAAGATTGACAAGCCTTGTCCTGATAAGCATACGCCATCTAT